TGGTGGTACTTTTTTCCAATTCGAAAATTAGCAAAAATTCTTCGGTATTGCATAACTATTTATATGCTCTTTTGTATGTTTATTTATTTATGCCAACTCATTTGTTTCTATCACTTTTATATAGATCTGAGCAGATTACCGTAAAGTTAGTTCCGAGAGAACGCCCATCCAAAATGAAGAGATGAATGGTGAAAAACATGGGATGGCCTATCTTTGGGAATGCCACAGCAAAAGTTCATCAAAAATTATGATAAGGGCCGGGGCACCCGCTACAAACCACGTGACGCGGAAACTGACACTGCAGATCGCGGACATCGCGAATTCGCGTTTCACGATGCGATAAACACGCGGAAATTCGCTACTAACTCCTGTATCACGGGAACGAATACCGCAAATCGCGGACGCAGTGGATGCAAGTTCTATGGTGTAATAAACACGCGGGAAACTCGCTCTAAACTTGCCTGTCACGGGAACCGATATCGCGCGCGCAGATTACGGACAAAAACGCGGGAATCAGCTACAAACTCGTGTGTTACGTGAACAAATACTGCAGATCGCGAACGCAGCAGAACTGTATTTCACGACGCAATATGCACGCGGGACCAACTCGCGTGGAGTCGAGATCGCGCGCGCAGATCGCGGACAAGAACGCGGGAACTCGCTATCAGCTCGCTTGTCAGAGGTGCCGGTACAGCATATTGCGCGGTTGATGCGATACCCCACGGACATTGCGTGACGTCCGACGGGAATCGGGGGGTGGGCGATGTTTCGGAATTTTTATGTTACAGATATTTGGCCAGAAAAACGGAATGGGCGATCTCCCGGGGGTGGGCGTTCTCTCGGATAGAACTGAATTGGCAGGAGCAGTGGATGGATGCTCGAGAAGCACCTTGATGAGTTCGGCGGGATTGTTTTTATGTTTCGTGCACATGCCATTTTTCTTATAAAGTTCTACACAAAATATAATTGATGTTCATTATGAAATGACAAGTGGTTTGGTTTTTTATCTGAAATTCAAATCACAGTTTTATTACAAGCTCTAGATCTTGAAGGAAACATTAATTTATGTGCTCAATATTGTATTATTTTAGTGGGATTCAGTACCTAAGATAACCATTCACAACAGTTTGTGCTGTCCTTCATTACTCACCTTCTTGTCACCCTGTCTGGTGCTTCTCCACACAACTAAATGCTACTTTTCCGTTTGAGGGGCTCCCTCCTGCTGTGCAGTTGATGCTAACAAAGGGTTGTACGAGAGTGCCACATAGACATGGCCTTTTAGTTGAATGGGCCAACACATTAAACTTAACATAATGTTTGCATTATTCTGAATAGAAACGAATGTGTGCTCATGCTACAAAAGTTATTTTTGCTGCTCCAAAATTAAGTTTTGGCTGCTACAAGAGCTGCTCCAAAATGACTCGGACCAATCACATCACTGCATGTGCTGAAAGCGAGTATTCGGAAGATTTGCAGAACACCCCCAAATCAGGAGTGCACAAAAACTTGCAAGTTTCATCACGGCTTTCTTTCTTCTTTTTTTTTAGTAATAAAACTTTTCTTTACACACTCACTCCAACAACAAAATGGCGGATTGACGTCATGTGAAAACACCCTATTCCCGCCGTCGCAGCGATTGGGCACGAGCCAGCCACTGTGGAGGCATTGATTGTCACGACTCCAAATCGAATGCCCACACAGTGCTTGTGTCCACTGTATAAGCCACATTCAAATGTAGTCGCAGTAAGGATGGCAAAGCATGATGACGCAGTCCCGGGAATTGCATTATTGGCGTTATCCCCGCAACTTGGTCAAGTTTTGTAAAGGAGAGACTGGAAGAAAGTGTCCGCTTTTACCCTTCAAAATCTAACGCGATGGAGACGCTTCTGGGTCGTTCGCCTTTCGTTTGTGTATTCGTGGGTGTCACAAGTGCCAGGAGGAACATTCTCATTCAATATCGTTGCAGGGCCCCCTTTAAAGAATATGTATGCTTTTATCTTCACACACCCACAAAACAAATTCTCTGCCATACACATCTCGTAGTTAATTTTTGAAATGCATCGAAAATATTGTTTGATGGCCACTACATATCGCGATTTGGCAGTGACATTTTTGTTGTGTGTCTACAAAAATAAGTATGTGTTACTTTTTTTCACTTTTCTTATTTTTGTTTTTTGACGCATGTTTTCATTATAATGGCATGATGTTGATGTTTTTTTTATGGGGCATCTGTTTAGTTTTATATTTATTTATATATGTTATGGTGTACGTTTTGTTTTAATGTTGTGATTTCCACCTTTGTAATAGCCCTCACGGGCTGACAGCATCAATAAACAAATAAACAAACAAATGAAACATTATTTTAACTTTTTTTTTTTTAAATTCTAGATTGAAGTTGGAAAATAATATTTACGGTTTTTGGTTCAAGGGGAAAAATAGGGCATCTGGAAAGCAGTGTAAAGTATATGAACACTTCTAATTTTCATGTTCTAGGTAACGTTCCTAATCCCAAGCCTTGAAAAGTCAGCTGAATGACCAAAAGAAAAAAAAAAAAAAGAAAAAAAGAGGTTTCTTAGAGTTCTCTCCCACACATAAAAACCCTCCTTTGTTCTTGATCGAGAAAACTTATGGACCCACGCTGAGGTCAGCTGCCGCATTGTGATTGCTACACCATGAAGCGTGCAACCTGCGTAGTCCAAAACAGGCTCATCATTCTTATTCCACAAAATTTACAAGCAGTTTCCACTCTTCTACGATTCACTGTTTTGATCAAAATAAACAACTCTTAAGAAAACCGGCCTGAACCAGTACGAACCTCTGTTTGTTTACTCCTGAGCTGAACTGGACTTGAACCTTTCTCCAAAAGACATTCTACCAGAATGTCTTTTGGTAAAATTTAGGGCTGTGCATTTGATCGATTAAACTACCGATTTATCAATTAATGCTTTAGTTGCAATTAATTTTTGTAACTGGTTTATTGGCTAAAGTTTGACAAACAAAAGAAAAGTAGAAATTCACCGCTTTTATTTAGCAGATGTGCACGGGTACACCTGTATGAAGGCAAACTTTAGACAAAATTTTGATCCAAAAGTAAACTGTTAGGGCTAGATTTGTTACTCCAAAGAAGGTGGAGGAGGTAATACGTGTCCCAGCCACTTCAACACCGTGCGAGTGTCCGTTTAGCGCAGAAGAGACTATTGGTGGACAATAAAAAAATTTTGCTAGTGCCAGAGAATATCAACAAACCGCTTATCCTCTGTTTTGGCTGACGTAATAACTTGTGAGTGGGTTGTCTTTTGGCTGTTCTCAACTACACATCATGGTTGATTTAAAACTCGAAATTGTACTGCACCATCTATTACATAATCAGCAAATGCGAAACATTTAATTTTGACTTTTATTAGCTATTATGTATGGGAATGAACAAACCACTTAATCAATGAATTAACCAATTAAAGGGGGCGATTCATCGGGTTAAGATTTTAATCGACGCCCACCCCTAGAAATTTCATGTAGAAAGTTCCTTAAAAAGTGGAATGCAAAGAAAGTGTTATGCAAAAGAGTACAATGCAAAAGTGTAATTTTAATTTGCTGCCAATTTTAGTGGGCTTACTCCCTGCTGAATTTGAACCGGAAGCGTCTATATTTAACGGAGAACCCTAATAGGACCTTTTCAAAAGCCCATCAAGCAACACTGGCGGTCGCCATTGCTTGGACACAACGCACCTGATTCGATCCCCGCCGAACGTGTCCAGTACGCGCTCAGAGCACGCGATCAAGCAATAATGGACGGGCAGTGGCGCAGACACTTGAAAAGGGTCAATTGTCACGCTAAGACTTTTCAAGCTCAGAAAAGCTCTCGCATGAAGATCCGACTCGGCTCAAGACATGCTGCACATTCCGTATCTTCCAATTTTTTTCCGTAGGATTGAGTTACGTTTAAACCTGTATGTGGAACGTGACATTTTGTGCCTGAAATCTGCACTCCCTTGATAAACAATAATGCACTGAAAGTCTACTAATTTTGTACTGTTATGAAACACTTTGTAAAGTATACCTAAAGTATATTTTTAGTCTACTAATAGTATATTAAATATTTGAACATGAACATTTGACAGAAGCTAGTCTGGTTATGTGACGTCTAACTAACATCCTTTTTAGTTATGTTAAACATACTTTTAGTATGTTCGCCTTAGTTGTCAGACTGGGTAGACATGTGAACCACACCACTGAAAAATGAAGGGTACTAAAACTATATTCAAAGTGTATAGAGTACTTTGGATGTTTAAAGTTTTCTAGAAGTTTACTTTAAGTGTTGAAATAAGAGTAATAGTGCAGGCTAGCTGGTGAATGGTCATACTTTTTAAACCCCAAGTCAAGAGAGAGAAAAAGTCTTTGTGTTCTCCTTCTTTTAAAATTTGTTTCAGGGTTTTATGAGTATGACTTTAAGTGAATTTTTTGTTTCATAAGCATACAAAAGTAGTTATGATTTTAGTGTAGACTAATATATTTTGGGAACTGTAGTGCTTTATGAACTATAGTGTATGGAAGTTGAAATTTTATGCGATGCAGACGAAGATTGTTTTAAAGACGAGACATAAATCGTATGGATGGCAGCATATGTTCATGATGATTTCTGTACGGTAAAAGCTTATTTCTGCACTAACAAATAAAACAGGCATCTTTCAAGGCATGCCGTGTGCGAGAATTCGTTTACGCACGGATAATGCGTCAGATGTGGATTAGGCACCGCGTCTGTTGTACTATACACCGAGTGCGGAGTAGGCATCAGGCACAGACTTGGCAACGAGTGCAAACTATGGGCTTAGTATAATCTAGGCACCAAGTGTGGTGTAGGCACTGGGTGTGCACTACATTTAAGGAAAAGAGCTGAGATTAGCCCCTGCAGACTGTATGCTGGGTGCAGACTGTAGTCTGGAAAATACGGTACTTTTATTGTACAGTTTTTGACCCAGGGTTGTCTCTGTGACCTTTTGCAGGAATCCGAGACGGTCGAACTGCCTCCAGATGCCCCGGCACCACGGCTATGCCAGATGAAGAAGTGGGAGGACTTCGAAGGGTACGGCTTCAACCTGCATGCAGAGAAGGACAAGCTGGGCCAGTATGTGGGCAAGATCGACGAGGGCAGCCCCGCCGAGTACGCGGGACTCCGCGAGGGAGACCGCATTGTGGAGGTCAACGGCGTCAACATCACCTCGGAGACGCACCGGCAGATCGTCGAACGCATCAAGAAGGTGAGCCATCTCGACTTTATTCTTTCTTTCTTGCGTCCAGGAACGGCCAAAGCCTAAATGCTGGTACACACAACTTAATCATATGATCAATCAATTAATTAATCAGTCATGTGTTTTATTGGGCTCAAACATCTGGCAAGGCTGAGGAGGGGGTGCACATTCATGAGCGAAAAGAAAAGAATATATATAACTAGTAGCGAGGAAACATGAGTAGTATGTTTTTTTTTTTACTTTTCAATATGGGCCAGCTTGACACTCTGGCGGCCTGGAAACATTATAGTGGTGTCATGAAAGTGACCATAGCACCTGCAATCATGGTGTTCAAACTACTTACTCCCCTGAAAACTTCTATGGTTTCCGCCCTCGGAAATTTTGTCACCACAGGCAACGCTAATCCTTGTAAAAAAAAAAAAAAAAGAAAGGTGTAAACAAAATTTAAAGATTTGTAAAAAGAAAAAATCTAGAAAAATGTTGATAGCTTTTTAAAGGAGATGTGGCAACCTTCGTGTAGCGTCTTAATATTTTCGACATAATAGGGCTCCTAGGTCTCAAGCATAAAGGGTTTTCAATCGCCCACCTTTTCGACAGGTCCGCAGATTGTTTTCTTTCTTTTTTTTAAGAGTAGACGCATTTAGCGACTTTGTCACTGGTGGCTTTTCCGAATCCACGTTCATCCGTTAGGTTCTCTGAGCAATCGGATCGATTGACTCCTAACGGCGGCAGTGTGCTTCTGGTCCTTTGATTTGACCTTAGGAAAAATATTTCCGTAGCGTGACAAAAAGATTCCGGGCCAGGTGATTTAAGGACTGTGCTGGAATGCGTCTTCAACTGGTGTGTTTACTGTCCATAGTATTCCGAGTGATTCCCTCGACAAAAAATGGCGCAGCGTGAAATGAATGTTTTTTTCGCCTTTTATTTAAGCGCTATGATGCAAATATATGATTGGCTGTTAATGTGACTTCCTAAAGCGAATGAAAAAAAGACAGCCGCTTGGGCAGGCAAAAGAACGATCGAGAGAACTGTGACCGAACAGACGTGTCTATGCATCCCTCCTTCTATGCGGCCTGGGAGGCCATGTCACGCCTGACACGTGACATGGCACCCGTCTCCATCAGATACGCGAGCCCCATTTCAAGCACGTCTTCGTAGGACTGGCATAAGCTTACCGGGCGAACCATCACGTTAGCCACCGACCGTCGGTTCATCGTAGCACGTCTTCGTAGGACTGGCATAAGCTTACCGGGCGAACCATCATGTTAGCCACAGACCGTTGGTTCATCGTTTTGGGACGTTGCCGCCTCATCCGGCACCTCGGAATACAACACTGTCTTATCCCGCCTGCAATGTATTACCTCAAAGCCTTTATTCTGGTGGCTGACTGGGCCGTACAGAAAAGACGAGTTACGCAAGAGGTGCGTGGTTCATGACCAGTCGCCCGAATGGCGAACAGCTTGGTAAAACTGACTTGGCTTGTCTTGGCTCGACTTCTGCCTGACCCGTCAATGTTGCCAGATGCACGCGCGCAACACCGCCCACACCTCGAAAGTGATTTCGAAGTGGCAACAAATGACGCCACAGGAGCTGGCATGTCATGCTGTCGGATGGTGCAACCCTGGCAGTTAGTCATAGAAGTTCCGACTAAAAATTGCAGGAGGACACTTGAGACTGCTTGCGTGTAGGAATGCGCATTCCTATGAGTGGTGCGCCCCGCTGTCCTCTGCAGAGGCCGGGCGAGCGGCGCGATGTGGCTGAAAGCAGAGCGTAGAACACGTCATACAGTAGTGCACAGGAGAGGGAGCGGGAATTTCCCGCTCCCCCTCCCCCCCTCTGTCACGCCTGACACGTGACCCAAAAAAAGAGGAGAGAGTGGTGGCCACGCGTGCACCACCCTCTTATTTTTACCAGTGTGCGGGCCGCAGCGCCAGGAGGGGGCTTCTCTGTGGGGCGGCGTTCCTTGGAACTATGACACGTTGCAGCCAATAAGAATTTCACGCTCGTTTCGCTTAGCTGGAATTCAGGTGCCGTTTTAAGGCCAAAGCATTAATTGTCCTATGGTGCAAGCCGACGTTGTCAGCTCTGAAGCAGCTCCAAACGGCACCTTAAATCCTTTCCATGTGAAGCCAGCTCCCAGCTATGAAACCACGTAAAAAGCCTAGACAACAGCACCTAGTTTCCCCGATCCCAAAGGAGCGGAGGGAAGCTGATGGATTTCAGCTTCAGTCCCATTGGCTTGCGCGCGTCGACAAGGCTCCCATTGGCCGCTGCGCGTCAATTTCAATGACCGCCACCCCATCGCGCTGCGTGTCCACGCCGTGAGCGCGCCGGTAACACGAAGTGTCCAAGGTAAGATTGGCAAGAAGAGCTGGAGAGCGGATGATCGGCCGATGCGAATACGGCCGACGCAGAAGAACGACAAGCATGCTTTTGCATTCACAACTCATAAGAAGTGCTTAGGTGTACCTCGAGCCTTTTTTCACTGCTACAGACGACGCCGGCTTCACTCCATGGGACAGTTAATGCTTTTGCAATAAAATATATGAGAGAATCCGACTGTTGCTCTCGTCGTAAAAATGCGGCAAACACACCATGTGCTCCAGGAACCATAGTGTTACCGAAATGCCATAGTGTCCGACTGCTGAAGAAATGGAGGGCGGGGCTTATTGTCTTCGTGCCTCTCGCTTCGTGATTCGCCGCTATCTCATTGGCTGCGCAGCGATTGTGAGGTGCTTGAGACTTGCCACATTGTGTGCGTCTCCGGTCGTCTCTCGCCGGTGTCGTAGCAGCATTTATAGCATTTTTTTTCCCCGGTGTCTGTTCGGGAGGGACGCAGAGGCAAAAGGCCACGAAGCCTGGCAAGGCCCCTCCCTACCCCTGTGCGTCTCCTAACAGTAGAATTGAAATGTAAAAGCAGTGGTGTATTGGCGACGTTATGGAAGCATTATGGTGGTGACACTGTAGTGACGTTGTGGCAATGTAGCCTGGGCGGTTTTGTACGATTTTGGACAAGATTGTGGGGGCAGGTTTCTACACTTACCTTCTAAATTTGCGAGCGACTTTTCAGACCCCGATACAAACATTTACGCGAATTTTGAAAAGTTTGAGTGTATTACTTGTGATTACTTGCTAACAGGGCAGATAATAAAAATCAAGATGAATGAAATTGTTATTTAAATCTGACCAGTTTAACTCCAATGTTTTGAATCAAACTTTTCCTGCAAAAAGAATCCCTAAATATTTTTTATTTAACGTTTTTGCATGTGCATTTGTTTTGAATTAAATTTTTTTTTTTAAATAATCGAGCGAGAAATATTTATATTAGGCTAAACACAAGCAAGAAACAGTGCTTTCCCGAGCGAATCAGAACATTAAACTTGATTTAATGTTCTGATTCTTCACTTCATTCGTCAGTTTCGTAATGTTCTATTCCAATCAAGGCAGAATGCAAAATAGAAAGCAAATAAAGCTTTTTAACTAACTAAAAAAGATCCTTATGGTTTTGTTCTTGTGCGGTGGAGATCACTTCGGTAAAAAGTTATTTGCAATAATTATTTCTTCCACATTATCTGTTATCAGTCATTAGACAGATTGATCAATCTATCTGCCATCTTTAAAAATACCTTTATAGGTAAATAATCACTATTTTATAGCTACTGTGATTTAAATAAAATTAACCTGATTTAAATCAAAGAAATCTGATTGGTATAAAACAAATAATTTTTTTTTTTTAATTTTGTTTTTTAGTGAAATTTTTACTTTGTTGCATGTACATGCACTCCTCTTGAGGGTGCAATGAAACATGTAATTGAACTGAAATGAATTGAATGAATGGAACCACCTGCAGCAATCATTTAGGACCTGGATGTTACTTTGACTCAAAGCTTAATTCATGCAATCCAGAGCACATTTGTTGCTGCCATGCTGGATCAGATGTTTCCATACATTTTATATAGTTGCATTATTCTCATGGAATGGCCTAACCAAGTCCACATATTTACCAGACTGCATTAAAAGAATTTGTTTGTTTTCGTGTTCTATCTATCCCCCCACATCGAGTGTGCAGTCATGCAGATGTATCTAATTACTATGCATTAGAGGCATTGCATCACTAGGTTTCTAGCTTATGTAATATCGTTTTGCAGGTGTGTACACGATTATCTTAGTTCACCCAAGTTGTTATTGTCAGTCTGTATATACAATTCGTTATCAAGTTACGCACTTTGCCCACTGCAATAAACACATTAAACCTTGTTGCTCTTGCACAGCTAGGATAGAAGTTCTGCGGATGAACTTGATATACCTTTTATAACAATAACAGTCTTTTTTTTTTCAAGTGATGGAGGTTGCAGTTGTTTATGATTTTTTCTATTTTGTTGCATGCGAGGCTAAAGTTTGCATACTTGCACATTATATTTTATCCTTTTTATATTGGTGTATGCTTTGCTTTGCTGGGTCTTGATGTGCGTGTGGTCACAGGCATGCCATAAAGAATCCCATCCGGCCGTTCTCAATTGTAAATGAGGCAACACTATCCACCAGAAAAAAGAGGGGCGGCTGACCAGTAGAAAGTTTGTTGCTTGCGTCTTTTGAAGTATACATAGGTGTACTCTAAAAATGGCTCCACTTGGCTGAAGATATGTGAGGAATGGGCATCAGAAGGCATCTGGTTAGAGATACAAATTTTGTACAAGAAAAAAAAAAATTGGCTCATCATCTACTGAGATATCAAGTGAGAGCCATTGTCACTAGATCAATATAAGTTGACAAGCTTCCTAGAATGCCTAGCGCCTATTCGTGGCACGTCTGCTCCACGGTGTGTTCGCTACGTCATTGACCCAGCAGAAGCAACGGAATTGGTGTAACGTTGGAGGCACATTGCCTGTGGTGTAAAGTGTTTCTTTCGCAGATTCTATGGTGAAAATGAAGCTTGCTCAAAAAGAGAGTTGTTCGAAAACGGTTCTTCTCAGGTGCTCATGGAAGCGGTGGCGGCGGCGGCGCTAGGATCGCTATCCGCCCGTACCTGCTCGCGTGCAGGCAACAGAAAAAGACTGTTTTCTAATGGTGCTAATTTGTAGAGCTTGTCAACAGATAGATCTAAAAACGTTTGTGTGGGCATCATCATACCATCATTGTTTTGCATCATCATCATGTGCACTATTGAAGCATGATCCCTGTTTTTGAGGAGCACAAGCCATTGGGAGTGTTGTAGACTTGTTAAAATGGTAGAAGGACTTTGATTGATCTAGTTTCATTCACCCTTTTTTGGTATTGCATACCCTGGGGTGCATTCTCAGCTCAAGCATGCAGATGGCTTTTTGGTGCCATCAAGCTTGTAATGCTAAGGAGAACACTTGCCATGCCGACATTGACACCTCATACATTGCTTTTAATTGTATGTTTGTTTATACTGCAAGAAGTTGGACAGCCCCAGTGTGCACCTGGCGTCTCCTCTGTTGACGAGAAATGTAGCCAGTGCATGCAGTATCACTGCTAGCTTGGAGTCTGGCTTACATTACGTGGCAGTGATTACACGACCGCATGCCGGTACGAGGCCCATCCAGATCGAAACGGGCAGGGGCGGGGATTGAACAGGATCCCTAAGTTCTTTGACGCAAGCGTTTTGCTCTACGTGCGCCCAGCTGACCCACCGATCCCCTTATCCACTTCACGGTCGTAACAAACAATGGCTACTTGGCTACGGTTTTTACACCTGGCAGATAGGAATTTCGACGCTAAATTAATCATGATGAAAAATAGTGCAAAACACAAGGACATCGAGGAGCGAAATACACACAGGACGGCGCAGTGTCCTTGTGCTTCGCGTTGTTTTTCATCATGAACGCATACCAACTAGCCCAACTGTCCATTCTACTAAATTAATCATCAACTGACTCGGTATAAACCTGCGCCGAGAGGAGGCAGCGGCGTTTTATTTTTTTAAAACTGGCAGTGCATATTTGTGAACAACGGTCTCGAACGGCTTTGAATAAACACAGACGAGAAGCCGTCGTCTGTCATCATTTGCGGACAGGCACCATATTACGCCGCTTCCACGTGTCTGGAAAACCATAGAGATCTTAGATTTAAAAGAGGGAGCAACTGAAACCACAGAGAGCATTTGCAATTCAATGGCGGACGCCTCCTGTGCAGATTGGTTGCAGGTGCACACGCGTTGCATTTTCGCATGGCGAGGAGGAAAGTGGGCAGAGAGGCGGAAGTGGCTGCAGACGATCGGCACTTTCATCGCCTCCTCGCAGCTCGTATTAAAAACGTAACCCATCAACCATGTGACCCCAACCGAGCCGTTGAAACCCCTTTGAAATCTAAGCGCACTACGAAAAACATCTGGACCAGGTAAGCTTAATGTAATAGTCGTCTACAAAAGGGACGCAAGCGGTTCATTGTGCACTTTCACAATGGGACCGGGAATAACATCGGTGCCAACAGCAGTTAAGCGACTCACCTCCTAACGGCAACAGCAACATCAGTGGAAATAACCGCAAGCTCGGAAATTACATCGACTACATTTTCTTGTTTGTCTGCGACATATCTTACGTGGTGGGTCCCGTGAATCAAATTGGAAGCTCTGCAAGCACGTCAGAATAACGATAACGATTCGGAAAGTTGTTGAATAGCTTGCTGGTCCGTTAAGATAAAAGAGCATACACCGTGTTGTGTACTAAAGTGTACTTGCTCTATTTAATAATTTGCATCTATATATCTGTACATTAGCTGATGTGCATCTATGATTGAGAACACACTCTTGTTTTGGTTTCCTAGCTCTCGAACCTGCATGCCCAAAATGTAGGCCAACTGGCCAACTGTTCTTGTCCTCGAGCTAAACCTTGCTGAAGTTATTCAATAGTACCTACTGCTATTATCGCTTTTCACAACTCGTTAAATGTCTCAGGAAATTCGAAAGGCTGTGTCACTTAATAGGTTTTCTCGTCAAAATACAGTCACGCATTAAGGTGGTACAGTTCTGGAAGGCAGTAATTGTTGTAGGGTTGTAAGCAAAGAGGGTTAATTTTAATCAATCAATCACAAAATCTATAAATCAGTTTTTCCTGACAGAAAAACATGTCCAAATTAATGAAAAAGCAGATCATAACCATTTGGCTAGGCTTCATCTGACTCTGTCAGGCAGAAGCCAGCATTTTTAAGCAAATAAAGAAAAAGTTTTGTGCATTTCTTTTTTCTGTCTCTCTCTCTCTCTTTATATATATAGGTATCTTGACAAGGTTTGAATGACTTGGAGCAAAAGGGCTGTGGGCGAGAGATAGAGGCACTTATGCAGACCACATTTATGCATTCTGAATTGCACCCGAAGCAATTGAGGCTGTCTCAGGTTGCAAGGTTGTAAAAGCTTAGTTAAGTCTATTAATTACTTAGCCTGACCAACTGCTTGCAGGCCTGTAAAAATTCAGTTTAATTTCATCTTACAGTGGCTAGTGTGTCAAGATAGTTGACCTTTGTTTGTAAGGATGGATGCCAGGCAAGAGTGTGGAGCTGTCGACAGAACTTGTAGCCACGGTGGGGAATATTTCAGGGTCGGGTTTCTAAAATAAATGTTTTTTCCTGCAAATTGAGGTACAAATAAATTGAACATCGATTTATATCGATGTTCAACCTACGGCGGAGAACCTACGGCGGAGAGCCGTAGGTTCTCCGGACACAAAACTGCCCTTGTTGCTGTGCCAAACTCTGGTGTCGGGAAGAAATTGGGTTTATCCTGAACGGTCTTATTCGACTCTGTACTAGATAGGTAAAATGGGATTTATCTAGAAAGTTGCTAAGTAAATTCGGGTGTCGGATGATCCCAAAAAGTATCGACATACTGTCAATAGCTGATTTATTGTGACGGTGTCCACAAGAGCAATGATTTGTGAGGAAAGAAAAACTAAAGATACCAAGAAATGGGGTGTGCAGATAGTAGCAAATCATCAAAAATACATTACAATACTTCTAAGTCTCATAAAATAAAAGGGTAATTGCAAAAAAAAAAAAAAAAAAAAAAGAAGTTGCGAAGTTGAAATGTTTATATGGAGCTTTTAAGAGCCACCCAACTGCATACCTTGCTACAGTTTATATAGAAAGAGATGAACATTTTCTGTTCCCTCTGCCAGGTCCCCAACGAGACGAACCTGTTGGTGGTGAGCCTGGAGGCGGAGAAGTGGTACCGGGACCACAAGATAGCGGTGACAGGTAGCCAGGCCAATGTGGTGCAGCTGAGGAACCCTGCCCTCAACCCGGCCACGGCGGGAGACCGGGAGGCCGAGGAGAGGCACGCCGAGGAGGACGCGGTCCTCGCAGACGCCCCGACCCCGGTCCTGGTGAGTTGACCGCGCTCTCGGCTTGCACAAGAGAGCATGGTGCTATCAATGCTGTGCTTAAAACGAGTCTCCAACTATATGTTTATTATTATTTTTTTTTTTTTAATTTGTCTACACCGCTAGCATTCTATATAAATGCCAAGGCAGATAACTGTCCTTCCCACCGACGCATCAGAAGTGGTCTCGTAGTGGCAACAAGCAACATCACTGGAGCTGGCGTGTCATGCCGTTGGCTTCCCAATCCTGGCGGTTGGTCGTAGAAATACCGGCGAAAAGGGCGAACGGGGGCAAGGGTTGCCGTTGTCGCGGTTTCACGTCTGTTTTTATTTTCGTCAACCATCTGGGTGCGGAGCGGCCCGAGGCAGAATAGGCGGCTGCTGCGTCTGTCTCTGACACTGTGCTACTGCCGGGATTGCCGCAGGCAACGGCAGGACACTTCCACAACGTCCTCGGGCGGAAATCGAGGGACCACTTATGAACATACCCGTCGCAGTCGCGTCCCAGGTGCGATAGTACCGCAAACTATAGGAGCATGACCATTCGGGTGAATCCAATTGTGGAACTCCGCTCTGGAAAGAGGCACATTCGTGTGTCTATCGCCTGTGAGGTAGCGTGCACTCTGCATTAGGAGACATTATCGTCATCGTTGGCTAGCCGCCTTCATGTTTTCAGGTGACAAACTATTTTAGAATGCATGAGGCTGTTATTTGTATAGTTATACAGTCTAAGTTCGTTATAGCAGACCTTGATTTTTACCAAGATTTCGGTCTGTTGTAAGAGGAGTATGTTGTATGCAGATACGACGTTGAGTCAATAGTATGTAGAGGAGAACCAACCGAACTTAACAAATCAGTATGATATATCCAAATGTCTGTTGTAACCAGGTCTGTTGTAATGAGCGTAGACTGTAGTTTGTTCTGTTAGTAACATGTTTCCTCTGTGTTTTTGTGGCTATCAACACACGTTGAGAATCCTCACCTGCTAAAGTTGCAAAGTCTGCACGTGCGACGCATTTACAGTAATCCACTTACGTAGATCCACTGAGTCGCTGACAAAGATATCTTTATGCATTTCACTGCGTTTTAAAGCACAGAGATGATTATATCCGATTCTTATTCGAATCTTACAGCGAACAGACAATGTGCGCGAGGCGTGCTTGCAATGCCACTGTTACACAAAATCGGACACGGATTCTCGTTGTATCGTGTCTCTGGGAAGTCCCACTACTGAAGCGATCTAGCAACGTTGGGCACGACCGTGCCTCTGTGCTTATTTGGTGCACCTGCCAGGCTTTAAAGACACCATGGACTGCACCTGGGTTGGTTTAGGTTTCTCTCTGACCTACCTGACAAGTCCAGAGGTAATGTGACAAAGTAAGCCAGTCGGTTCCTCTTGAAGTTTGCAAAAAGCGCAGAAAAAGCAGTGGTGTCTATAGACAGCCTGTAAGACATATAATCCGTTTAGAAGTACCCACTAATCATTGTTGTCTCAGCTAATAGCTTCGGTATTGTTATCAGAACAGTATATAAAAATATATAAAAAAAAAGAACAGTATATAAAAAAAACATAGAAAATATAATTTTCTATGTTTTTTTTTGTTTTTTTTTGGGGGGGGGGGGGGGGGGGGGTGTTTGGCCTTGTTTTTTTTCTGACAGATCCCATGTCCATTTTGTGAAGAGCAAGTTCTTTCATACATTTTTTAATGACTTTCTTTTAAGACCAAGGTGTATGCAAGATCTAACTGCTGCTAGGCAGAGGGTTTCTTACTTTCTGCCTAACTGCAAGGGTGGCAAAAAAAGGATGGAGGTGAATAAAAGCAGAGGATCCTCCCAACGCCTCCTAGGTGGCAGGGCTGTAACGCTGGTTCTTTTACGTCACCTACCGGAGGTCATCATAGGGCATGGACCGGGCTTAGGTACTGCGTCAACAATCAGCCGGTACACATGTCCTTGCCGAGTCAACACCAGTCGCGGCCAAACACTGACACAGGACTTGTGTCTAATTGGCCTCTTGCATGTGACATAGAAGATCCAGTACTACAACTTTGTCATCTATACTTCGTTTCATCTTATAGAGGCACTAAAGTGCTTTTTGATATCCTCATTTTATGGTCATAACTCAATCTACAAGCACCAAGCATCTTAAAAAAAAAACATAACTATATTCCCAGTATGCATACTCCAAAAGTGATCAAGGATCCCGACACTTATCGTTGGCGTAGAACGACGGATGGCACTACCGAACCTTGCTAAATTTAATCGATCGACAGACGGCGTGTGTCAGCCACTTGCGAGCAATGGGTTCCCGCATGGACGAGCGGCCCACCAGTCCTGCCCGTCCATGTGGGAACCCATCGGTCTGAAGTGGCTGACAAGCATTGTCCATCAATTGACCATATTCAGCAACGTCCGGTAGCGCCATCTGTCGTTCTGCATCAACGATAAGTGTTAAGATCTTTGATCACTTATTTAATACAAAAATCGGCCGCACATAAATGTAACTTTTTTTTTTTTTTAGGATGATTAAAATGACAGTAAAACGAGGATCTTAAAAAGCACTTTAGTGCCCCTTTCAGTCCGAGCGGGGCCAAAAGCTGGCTGCAACGCAAACGCGCAGGCTAAAAGTGTAACGTCGCGACACATTCATCACACTCGATCAGATCAGTTGGTGGTGGCGCATGCATAGAAACGTGAAAAGTGCCGTGATCTAGCGTTTTTTAAGCTAGATCACGGCATTTGATTGGCCCATTGACTTGCAGCATTGGTAGCGTGTGGACTTAAAATGAAACAGAGTATAGGAAGTGTCGTTGAAGTGCTCGGGGAGGAAAGATGAATCAAAGGGTGAGAAGCAAGTTGCTTCATTCTTACAAATTGGTGATACGGCACGCAATACACACACAGGGACAGAGATAGGCAGTAGACATGCGCTCCCCCTGTCTACTGTTTATCTCAGTCCTCCATTATTGCACTTTTTATCGCCAATTTGTGAGAAAAGGTGATGGAAAAATGAAAGCCCTCGAGTGCACGAAACGTCCGGTGTCATTCGACCTCACAGTATCGATCTGTTGTCGACTCCTTTAAAGAGCATCCTTGCTGCCTCTTTTGGTGTCGTTGCAGAGGAGGCAGAGCCTGTCGGAAGAGGACAACGAGAAGGTGACGGAGCACACGACCACCTTGTCCAGCTTCGTCGTGCAGCGGCAAGACGAACCGGACAGTGTGGAGGATAGGGCCCCCGCCCTGCCATCTTCTCCGGTGAGTTGTGGCTGGAACAAGCGGTTGAACTATCCTGTTTTCCGGTCTATATGTCGCACCACCCTGTAAACAGCCATTTTTACCAGTAAGGTGGTATAAAAGTTGCACCTTCATATACCTCAACTGCATACACACAGCCAGCATGTGTATTAGATTGCAGTACCTATATGTGCAAGCGAGAGCAAGTTTTGATATTCTCATCAAACGAAAAACGTAACCCCCATGGCAAATTTTCACAGTTACACACCATACTCATAGAAAGAAATGTGTGCAAGTCGCACCGTTGTATAAAATGCACCTACAAACTGTTAGAAAAACACCGTAACTTAAAGACCGACGACCAGTTCGCGCTTTCCACTTTTCGCCCGCTTCCTCCTCTCCCTCCTACCCTTTCCACCCCCGCCCGCCCCCCTTGGTCCCTTCTTTCCATCCCTCGCTTCCCTCGCCCGAAGGCGTGGAGAGGAGGGTCTTCTGCCTTGCAGAATCTCGAGTCTGGTCGTCGGCCTTTAAGCGCGAAACACATGTACGACGAAACCGTCCTATCCGACGTGCGGACTGCCGGACTGACCTTGGGGGGCGAGAGTTTTCATAGCACCGGAGAGCGTTGAAAACCCTCGCCTCCGACCGTCGTATTTGCGTGATCGGACGTCGGATCGGACGATTTCGTCGTACATGTGTTTCGCGCTTAATACACTGAAAGGTATGCCTTTTGTGTGTCCATTCGGTTGCATCAAGTGCCACCAGTTTACATAATACAGGGTGTCGCCAAAAAAAAAAAAATTTACAGGGTGTTTTTTACCACTAAAATAAACTAGGCATCGCCGAACGCTCATTCTCCGCTCGAAGGTAGAGCTGGAGGTCACAACCAGATGCCAAAGTTTCAGCCCAATCCGATACCTTATTCAAAAGTTATAAGTGATTTTCTGAAAATTTCAATGGGAAAATGGCGGCCGAAGGAGTTTTTGAATACATGGGACTCTATGGCACCAAAAACCGAAATTAGGCAGAAATGGGCTCCATTTTCCCTTTGAAATTTTCAGAAAATCACTTTTGAATAAGGTAACTTTTGAATAAGGTATCAGATCAGGTTGTAACTTTGGCATCTGGTTGGGACCTCTAGCACTACCTTTGGGCGGAGAATGAGCGTTCCGCGATGCCTAGTTTATTTTTGCGTTGAAAAAAAACCCTGTAAATTCTTTTTGTGACACCCTGTATATTCAACAAAGGCAAGTGCAAAGATTCCCTCGTGACAGGAATACTGAACCAGTTTGGTTTTTGAATTCTGAAATACATTCGTACTGTAGCTGCCTCGGCATTCAGCATCGAAAAAACATTTTGAATGCGGCAGCTTCCTCAGAGTTGCCCAGCTGAAAAGTTGATTTGGCCTCTCGATCCAGCTCGATCATGGCGCCTTGGCACAATGTCTTTCAGAAAAAAAAAATATCGACAACAAAAGGAGGAGGGGGCGTGTTTCACGTAAACACGCCTCTCGCTCTAGCCGTGTTGGTCGCAGCGCCCAAAATACTTCACAGACGTCTTTGATGAAAGCATTTCATTCTTTTGGCCTAGCTCGATGTTCGAGAAAATTTTCTCGCGCCGAAAACACCCAGCCCCTTTCCAATATAATGTCTGCGGTGGACTTCGTGGTACTGCGTCCATAATGATTGTTCAAACAAAGTACAAACGTGATCAATGCTGGAAAAAAGAGCTAAAGGGGAGCTCCAGCAAAAGTTTCATAGTCTCAAAATTGATTCAACACGTTAAAAGACACATTCAAACTAGTAACTCAAATTATTCTATGGGCAACACTCACTTGTGACACCAGATATGTGTCACACCGTAATGCCCCCCTAACATGCAGCATTAGGGGGCATTACAGCTTGTTCCCGGCGGGTTGCAAGAAGTTTGATAGTGTGAAATGAATGCTGGTTAAACTTGTGCCAGCAAAACAGCAAAAAAAAAAAAAAAAGGATTATGCCAAATACTGCTTTTAGACTGCCTGCTCGATTCTCAAGTTATGCAAGATGTGACGTCATCTTATTGGAGAGCACGGCAAAATTTGAATGTTGGCTTTGGCACAACCTTTATTTGCCGTTTCGTGAATGGCTATTTTGAATTTAGAGATTATAGATGGCACGTCGGAAAGAGTATGAAGAATGTGAATTCTGAAAATGTGTTTAATTTGGGTAGCTCAAAAAACTGTGCGAGCTGTTTCTGCTTTAACCACCTCTAGAAACCTGCCTTAACCCCTTAAGTGCCTTGGACGAGCTGAGCTCGTCGGCCGCTTTTTGGCTAAAAAATCCATGGATGAGCTCAGCTCTTCCAGTGGTTTTTTCAGTAGCCCTCAATTCCACAGACGAGCTAGGCTCGTCCGAGTAGTTTGTGGTGCTGAAAAAACACCACTTGTCATGGTTTTTTTTTTTGTTTTCCGCCGCCGCTGATTTTTGCGTAATAAACTTTTGCAATTTTATCTGTATTATTAGAGGAATAAAATTTCTAAATAAAAAAGATATGGCACTTTTAGGTTACTTTCCGAAAAGAAAAAAAAAAAAGAAAAAGGTCACCTAAGGGGATAAGGCATCTTTCTACTAGCATTGACCTTCCTGGTAGTGTGAGCAGCAGCTGACATTTTCACTGCGAGACCTACTATTTTTGGGAATACTTTTTAATTTGTTCTTAGTACATGTATAGGGTGGCCACAGTGGTTCTTGCTGCAAAATGAACTGGAACAATGGGCGCCTGAACACAGGCAGCTCAAACTTCCATCTAATCTGCATTTATGTAGGAGATTTTTACCTCGCAAAAATTCGAGGCATAGTTCTCATCCTGTAAAAAATAAGACCAACAAACCTGCCAAAGTCAGCGACAGACGTGTTCACAGAAGACAGAGTTAGCGATGGATTTAACTTGTGGTGCCACCTCTCGATAGGCACAGTGACCGGACGACACACCTCGTTGTCTGCTAGCGGCGGCTATCTCGAGATGGCGCCGCAAGTTTCGTTCATCTCTAACTTGGTCGTCTGCAAACATATTCGCCGTTGACTTTGGTAGACGACAGACGTGAGACCAACAAACTTTGTTGATGCAGCCAAGTTTGTTGGTTTCATTCTTTACAGAAAAATAACTTTACCTTGAGAGTTTCCAAGGTAAGATCCACCGCCTAAATGCACATTCGGTGAAAGTTGGAGCTTTGTATGTGCAGGCACCAATCTTTCCGGTTTGTTTTATGTCGTAAGAAACACTGTGGCTCCTTCCCCTCCAACGCCGCAAAATTCTTCAATTTCGGTGGTACCGCTTGCCTCTCAGCCACCGGACGACACGGAGCCCGAGGTACCAGAGACCAGAGAGGAGACTCCCACGCCAAAGGAGACCCTACCAGAGGCAGTCAAGACAGAGGTTATCAAGACCGAGGTGGTCAAAACCGAGGTGGTCAAACCGGATGAGCCAAAGCCCAAGCCGGAGCCACCGAAACTTCCGCAGGCCAAGCCGGTGGAGCCTCCTCGTGTCCCCACCGAAGCCAACGGCGGCGCTTCCACGATGGCGACGACGACGACTTCTGAGGCGAAGGGAGCGAGCAACGGGTCGCTCAACCTCAACATGAGCGCTTCAGAAATGCGGCAGCTGTTGGCGCAGCGCAAGAAGCACGACCCCAAGAAGGTTCAGATGGACCTGAAGAAAAAGTATGAGCTCATCGAACAGATGTAGACGTGACCCATGTCCTGTTTCTTCGGTGCTTTCACCGTCGTCAGCTCTGTTTGTCGTCGGTTATTGGAGGAGGCAACGTGTACCATCTGCATGTTTTTGCGAAAGTGTCGACGGCGCTGTGGATGGTCTGCATGGGACGACCGAGAGGCCTTTAAAGGGACGTCTCAGAACGTGTATGCAACTATGAAAATGCTGTCCTGGATGGCAGTGGACTAGGCCAAGGTTTTTTACGGTAATGTCAGTTTACAGAAACAGATTTTTCTACTATGGTACGTCGAAATTCTTGGTATATCGGCGTCTAAAAGTTGCGGCAAAACGCCGGCGTCGGCAGTCCAGGCGCCGTTGTAGCAAAAAAAAAAGAAGCTGCTTTTCTATTAAGAGTAAACGAACATTGTGGTAAGCTCGCAGTTGTGGTATTGCCGACTGAAATGTACCTTTTGGGCCGCAAATCGTGTGTACCTACAAGCTGGTCCTTTTAATTTTTGAATAGTTTTTCCCAAGACGCCGAAAACAGGGACCCATTTGGGTGCGACCCATTGTCCTCGGTTATCGCGCACGAAAAGTCGCGGTCGATCGTCCCTTTTACGCTGTTCTAGAGAGCCCTTTTCTATCCCGGTAGCTGACTGATTCCAGTCAGCCGGTCCTTTGTGACACCCATCAACAGTGCTATCGACAGTTTCGCACTGGCACTAGCAACCATACTTTGCTGCAGCTTTTAGTCCGAGCTACGGCGGACCTAGGTGCCTGCAACTGTTTTTGGCCGGTTTACGGCGGCTACGAGCGACGGTTGTTATTTACAGAGGCTCGCGGATGCGGCGGCTGCAGTTTCTCTTCCGCCGTTTAGGGAAGAAGCCAACTCGCTACGTCCACTCGAAAGAATTGCGTGTCAGAGGGTTCGGTATTGAGAACCGGTGGGGCGTGTAGCTTTTAAGCGCCACGGAGTGCGATTGCCACGTTAACTTTGTTCCGTTTTGCTCGTCGTGCGTGGAGAGACGGAGGTAGCAAGAAACCGAACGAAGCTATTTTTGTCAACCGCTCGGATCACTTCCATGCATCCACTGGACGTCGAACAAATTTACGAGTGTACGCGACCCGTCGTTCTTCCACATTCCACTTCTTGGAGCCTAGCGTGCTTCTCGTTTTACAGAACAAACGACGTTCGCCGGTTTGTTTTCTCGTTTCTTTCGTTGGGGCTAACCATAATCACATAACCGCCGTCGATTTTCACGTTGCCATTTTTTTTCCTTCTTGAAGAGGCTACGCAAAGGTTGTGGAGAACGTCCGCTAAATCGCGGCAGTTGCCCAATTCTTTTGTTTCTTTCCGTTTTGAGCCTTGTCCTCTAAAATTTTTACCCTTTACAACGCCGACTGTGCAATACATTCCCGTTCCGTACTTACTGAATTTCAAGCACGGGCAGTTGCGTTTCGTTTTGGACGGAATGGCCCATTTAATGGTCTCTTTCCACCTTTCTACCGTTTGTTACCAAGTAGCAAGTCTTTTTACATTTTTTTTTTTGTATTTTCATCTAATCTCGATATCAAACGCTCTACACGATGTGGATTTTGCAATGTCTCAAAATGCCATGCAGAGAGAAGTCCTACTCTTTTGTCGACTACGCGTTTCTCCCTGAAGCGCTATGTAGGGCGGTTGTCGGGGGCGTCGAAGAAAGGCTGGTTCGCGCACTTGCGACTGTTCACGACCGAGTTCGTTAAAACCTCTTGTGATCTCTCACGACGAGACAACACGCCCTGGGACACTGGTGAGTTCCATATATTTGCTACTTTTTTCGCACATCATTTTTTCTTAATTGGCACGAAAAACTTTTGACGATGCTACAGAGGGCCATTTCTCATGGATATTATGCATATTTGATCTCGCAAAAACTGAAAAACCTTTGCTCTAGTGAAACATAATAGTTTCACAGCCACCTCGTAGGTGGCGCCGTGTCGTAAGCAGACACGAGTGTGCGGACCGGCCTAAAGTCTCGCGCAACTTCTCCGTCGACTCGAAGGTTGGTTGTGCGGAGGTTCGGTGCCTTATACCCCAGTTCCAGTGTTTACAGACGAAGCATATTTTTCCATCATTCTACGCAACTAAGAGAAGAAAAGCAAAAAAAAAGGATATATATACACTTCGTTGCGGAAGCTGCGTTAAAAGCTCCATATTTTTGTAGCCATGTTTGGAAAGTGTTTTTGCGACCTTTTGGAGTCATAGTAAAGGTGTAAAAAATATAGCAATGGTGTGTGCTCTCCTTCTTTCAAAAGAATGCTTCCCGCTGCAACGTTTGCCTCGGCCAGTGCTGCCGACTTCGGGAATTTCTTTGCGAATGTGAAAATTGCTCTGCCGATCCTTAACATTGTGAAGAAAAACTAATCTCACGTTCTACGATGCTGCAATAAATTTCTGCAATCGCAGTCGGCTCAATACGAGCTGGGCTCGTTCACCCAGAGTTGTCAGACTTGCCCCGGGCTCATTGGAACCTAAAGCCGCAGTCACACTGCCCATACGTCATACAAAAGGAACGCCGTTCGCTGCAGACACGACAGAATTATTTTCGCAGATGCCTGGAGCTTGTTGAAGCAGGCTTGCTCCATACGTACATATGCTTTGAACGTGTCAGCAGACGGTGTGTGTACGACCAATGTGACAAGGCCATCGTACAAAGAAGGAACGCGCCTCGGACATAGTCCGTCTTTTGTATGACGCACGAGCAGTGTCATTGGTGGCTCTAGAAGCAAGTAAGTCTCTTGGTCGTAAGGTGACCCACCTCGACGAAAAAAAACTGTCATGTGTCTCTGTTTGTGCGAGGCTGTCTTTGCCTGCCATTCTTGACTGGAAGCATCTTTGCAGCCCTGCGGGAATGCTATGGCACTAAACAAAATTAGCGGAAGTGATTGACGGCCCAAACTGTCCAGTAGAGACATTTTGCCGAATTACCTGAGTACAGAAAGAATGCCGGGAACTTGGGCACGCGCGTTGAGCGTGCTGGCGTTTGCGGCTCTAACTGTTCGAAAGCAAAAATCTGAGCACGTGCAGTGCATGTACCTACGTTCCCAACATTCTCTTTATCGCTTGAATAATTTAACGAAAGGTCTATTGCCGCATGCGATGCTTCATTGTCGCGAATACATTCGAAGCGAAAGTGGCCGGGCCATCCCCACCTTTCAATCTCGGGGGTACCTCGGCAGACGTAATGGGCAGACGGTTGTAGTCTGCAAAAGCTTCTTTTTTTTATAGATCGATGCTGTAGTCTGTGATCCTTGTCGATTCAGCGTCTTAGAAACCATCGGCAATGGTAAAACAATGAATAAAACAAGGTAGTACCTACCTCTCCTCTCGACGGGCAAGCAAAAAGAAACCTCATGTGGACAGTCGCACCTGGCCAGAGAAGCCTGAGGCAGCTAGAACAGCGGCATTTCGAAAGAGTGCTTTGGGTAACACGGGGGAGGTCGGCAGACTGCTGTCTGCCGACCTCCCCCATGTTGCAACTGCCTTGGTGGCTCAGATCCCCAGGTGGAGGTTTCGAATCCCGGCCAGTGTGCCCGCAATTCGATGGAGTCTTATTGCAGAGAAGGCTGAGCTTTCGGTTGCACGTCAAAAATATCCCTAGGTGGTCGAAATGAATCTCCAGTCCTTCGCCGGAGTCATTATCATGGTTTGGCATGTGAAACCACCAAATTATTTTCCCCCCATGCTATGAAGATGGAACGCGTCGAGCAATCTAGTGCCACGTGTTACCCTTTCGTCGGTCTCACAGTCGCTCGTTTGTGCTAACATTTTTTAGTGCCGCCCGTACGCTTTCGTGTGAGTGCACAACTAAAAGCACTGTGCCATCGAACCTAGAGATAGACAGCAAGCCATCTAGTAGTTTCTTTGCTCTAAATACGGCATAGAGTAAAGGTCCCACGTATTCTGGCCGCTTCAGAACGGTAGGGAATGGATGCAAATGTCGATGGTCCCAGTGGGTGATCCCGACAAGCCCTTACCGCTGGCGATGCCTTAAAAAAAGATGCAGCGAAACATCACCAGTAAGTTCTGTGCCTAGTTCTTTTCTAGCTTACGTTGGATAAAAACACTGGTATCGTGCATTTTTAAAAGATAAATAAAGTTGACGAGCGCTCGAATTACCTCAACTCATCGCGGCAGAGCGTAGATGCCTGACTTATCGTCTGCTTTTGTTTGCTGCTCCTCTGCTGCTGTCGCTCTCTTTCTTTCTCTCAAGATTAACGATATCGGCGCTCGGGATTTGCCGCATTCTGTTTCCCTCTGTACCCTGCTAAAATGTGGTGGTGATCAAATCTACCAAAATGTGTCTTCTCGCAAAAAAAAAAAAAAATAATTCCTGGTTCCTCGTTTTGAAGTAGTCAAGTCTTTGCACACACTGCTGCATCCAAGCTATATTTGTGTAGCCCCCATAAAATTGGCAGGGAAATGCACAAAGCATTCTCTGGCAAAACCTAGTCGAGAAATTTGACCCGCTAAGTATACCGTAAACGACTATATTTTCGCGAGCTCAAGCACATTTCATGAAGCGTAGCTTTCTATAATATCTGGGCACAAAATTTCGCGATTTGAAGCGATATGTCCCGTATTCATTACCATAAATTATTCATGCAATTATATTTAAAGTTGCAAAATCTGCGAAAATTAGGTATTCAAGAAACATGAATTGATTATGGCAAGCGCCTTCAAACTTTTCGATCAAGAGGATGCCCCATGTCTCGATCAACGGCCGACAGACCCTCTCAATCTCAACACCGATACAATAAGGCGGCGCAGAGAAGACTACAGGAACTCTAAACAATAGTTCACATACTATTGAATGGTTGTCCCTATAATAGTGCTTAAACAGGGAGACCGTTTTACATGGAGGCGAAGACAATTGAGGAAAGTTTAGAGTTCAGGAAACACCCGTGTTCCTAGAAGCAGTTTGACAACTGCGGGAAAATGTTCTCGGTACATTTAGCAGGGATGACTTCACCGCTAAATTCACCGCGAAAAACATTTGCGCTAAATTAATCACGTGTTGGTCCTAGCTCCACTCCAGCAGACTGCCATCTCTCTGGTGGGTAAACAAACATCTCGAAAGCAAGTGCTTTGTTTATCGAAGCGTAGCTGGTAAAGGCAACCTGCAATGCTGTTTGGTTTGGCACTGTCTAGCAACTGAAGCAAGAAACATTGGGTATGTCTGGGAGTGGCGGCTTCTTTGTACAAACGTGAGCTATTACTTTGGTGGCGCCGCTTAGTCTAGCGTCTGAAGAAAGAAATGCTGGGTAGGCCGGGAAGCCGTGATCACATGGTAGCAATCAGTTCATCGAACAACGTTTTATCGACAGATTGTTTCATTGACAAATCGTTTCAGTGACAGCTCAGATTAGCTTTTTTTTCTGTGATAAGCTGCATGAGATTGTTGCTGCGAAGTGGCGTGTACGGGTCGGCCAGGTAGATTTGTAATGAGCCGGCGCAGACTGTCGCTGCGAAGCGGCGTGAACGCAGGCAAGGGGGTGGGTTAACGCGCACTCCAGTGATGCACGCGTGACGAAATGTCCCCACAGCATGCAGTTCGCGGAACAAGTGTCGATGAAACAATCGTGCCGACAAAACGTGCGTCCAGGAAATGTGTGTCCATAAAAAGTTGCCCCCGAAACGTAACCCTTTGAAATGAGTTTTGACGAACTGATAGGGGGGACCCGTGATCGCATAACGTGCCAGTATGGCGAAAGCAACGGCCCCGGCGGGCCAATCAGAATGTGACTACGTATCACCGGAGTGTGCTTTTACTGCGAAGAAGTATCAGGCTTTTTGCCGCATCATGCTCCAATATGTGTGCGTTGCACTCTTATACCTAGCGCATATAGAAGCCATCGGCACGCTATGTGGAGCTTATCGTTCACTTTTTGCCAAGTTACAACGAGACAGGGTATAACTAACGTGGGCTCTCACTCTACTGGCACTGCCTGGTTTTGCCGGCTGACTATAGTTAGTCGACGAAAACAATGTGCTCTTCGTCTCCCCTTTATGAAGCCTGAGTTGTTGTTTGCAAACCTTCTACATGCAGTATACAAAAAAAAAAAATTGGGATCAACTACTAATTTACCTGGCTGATCAAGTGGACTGTCTTGATGTTTTAATGTTAACTGAAGTAAATGTTGATGCAACTACCCGCTTGTTCTTCACTCCAGAAGGTTTCTGCTATCATTCTTTGTGGAGAGTAGGGCGACGTGGTGAAGGAATACTTCTGTTTTTAAAGACTGATTGGCTGTCCAAGCGAGTACAATTATGCTGAAGTGCTCGTTATCACCATCTCCAAGAAAATTCCTTTGTTATATCCTCGGTTTACAGGCTACATGGCTGTAACCTTCCTTTATTTTATGATGAAATGTTTCAGCTGCTAAACACACGAAACAACAATAGTCAGCTTGTAATGGCGGGCGATTTCGGCATCAATGTGTGCGACGTAACCAAATATGGGGTTGCGGACTACCTGACTTTGTTATCGGGATTAGGTCTCGAAATTCTAATTTCAAACTATATGAGGGAAGAGCAGCAGGGAAACCAGATTACAAGTACATGCATCGATCACATTGTTGCGATTTTGAATAAGCTAGAAACGATGTCGGGGGTTATAAAGCAAAAAGTAACAGATTACTATTTTATATCCCTTCTTGTGTTTAGCTGCACCTTAAAAGAAGAACCAGAAAGTCATTACAACTTGGTCTTGGACAATAAAAAGTTGATAAATTAATGAATATGACTGGAGCACTCTAGTCTCGTTCAATCACGCCACAGTTTACTAAAGGATGACCGAGATTTTAGGAAGTCTCTAGCAATTGCGAACAAAAAATTAGGTTAAAAAAAAAAGGAAAAGTGAGCATGTATGGATAACCATAGAAATCATGAAGCTCTGCCACGCAAAGGATAAACTCTGGCAAAGATGTAAAGCCAATCCAGTGGATAGAGTTCTGAAAAATGAACTAAGAAACCTCTGTAACACAGTAACAGCCACAATAAAACTGGCAAAGAAAAGGCAATATGTTGCATGTTTACAGCGTCATATATAAAAATTTTTTTTTTTTTTTTTAAAAAGACTTGATATGTTGTACAGGAACTAATGGATGGTAAATGCAAGGAAAACCTTGATTACACAATACGAAAAGCGTTTGGAGATTCTGATGTAGGGCGGATATGTAACGAGTTCAATAGTATGTTTGTATGTGGTGTTGTGGAACTTCAGACTCTGGGGTGCGGGTATCATGAGGCTTCTTACCATACAATAAGCCATACAATAGATTCTGCAATTTGGCTTACTTACCACAAATGGCAGAAGACGATTTAAAAACAATTATTAAAAGTATGTCAATGGCCAAACCTCTTGGGAATGACAGGATACGTTTAAGAGCTTGTAGCACATTTTTCAAAACTAAAATATATGATACTTAAAATAGTCAATTCATTGTTTTTTGCAAAAAAAGATACCCAACAGCCTCAAAATAGCTGTTGTGAGACCCATCTATGAAAGGGGAAGTAAAAAATATGTTAAATTATAGGCCAATTTCTCTTTTGCCGGTAATATCCATAATCATAGAAAAATTTGTTTTTTGGTCAATGTCCTTATTTTTCAAGAAGCATAACTTGCTATGTCATTCCCAGTACGGTTTTCGTAAGAGTAGAACAACAATCACATTGCTGGAAGACGTATCGGACCATATTCATAAGAATATTGATAAAAAAATAATACTTTGTACTAACATTATTTCTGGACCTAAAAAAAGTGTTTGATTCAATTGATCACAAATTACTTTGATATGAATTGGAGCATTTTGGCTTCAGAGGTCCGTTTTTAGAATTCCTAATAAACTATCTGAATGGAATCAACTTGTAAAAATTGGTTACGTTAAGCATAGTCTACTTCAGATTATAGTTACCGTGTTCTTCAGGGATCTATCTATACTAGTTTTGCTACTATTTAACATTTATGTAAATGAAACTGGTAATTTGAACTTCTCTTCACGTGTATCTATGCCGACGATACAACCATAGCATTGGCTGAAAATGACGAAATCGAAACAGTGTTGTCACTTCAGACAGATATATACAAGCCGATAGAATGCTTTGAAAGCTATAATATATTTGTTAACACAGACAAAACTAAATTAATGTGCTTCGACTATCCTCACAAAACATTAAAACTTACTACTCCTTTGGTTCCAGATTGGTCAGATTGTCAATATTGTAAATGTACTCCAATGGTGTATGCATACATTGTCAGTAAAATATCTGGGTCCCTTTTTTTGATCAACATCTCTCCTGGAGCACTCATATAGACTATTTGGCAAAATGCCTACAAACTGTACTTGCCTTTTTATATCGCTTACAAAGTATCGCCTCGACATAACCTCGAAACTAAAAGGCTGTAAGAGTGGGGTTCGTACCATCCGTCCCTGGGTGAAAAATGCTTTTGCCATTTCAGTTTCGGCTCCCATGGACACCTTTTGGGTTAAGGGCCGTTGCGGCATCGGTAAACGGGACACAGCAGACGCCGTGAGGTGGCGTCGACAAATGTTGGGGAAGTTGCTGTATGCGCTTCTGTTTTCAGCTTGGGCATCAACTACACAAACAGTACGACTCTCCTTCTTGCGTCATCAATGCCGTTTCTTCCCCTTTCCCTTTTCAAGAGATTGGGGACCGGCGACGACGGCAGGAGCCTCGATGACAGCCAGCAGAGTGCGCGACTGGCTGTCTGCACCCATGTGATGAGCACACTCCAAGCCTCTGTCCAAGGAGGCATGCGAAGGGAAGCTTTCTGCTTGGCAAGAGTACCGCATATGCCTTGAATTCATAAAACACTTCATCTACTGCGAGGAAATACGCCACCTGCCGCGTCCAGTTAGGCACCCCTTTACTCAAACAGCAATGCCAGTCAAGCTGGGGAAGTGCAACTAGACTGATACGATCGATTCAGAGAAAACATTCTTTTTATTGAATACACACAGAGCAAAAAGAATGCAATGGGGTGCTCCCTAATCGATGGCGACCGTCGGCCCTTCGCGCTCGTCATTGTTGTGCCGGCACGCGTGATTGATATGTATGACTATACAGTCGTTCTCCATGTACCACGACAAATGGCGCGTGGCAGTGCTTGCCATTTGTAATGTACGATACCACGCAACGAACGGCAAATGCTTTGACATTGTCACCTGGCATCTTTAACCTGGGTCGATGGCTGCATCTGAACTCTGCGAGCTTCCACAGAATTGGAGTCAGATGTGCAATCGCCGAACGATGCAGTGCGTTTGTGGCAAGATTCCAGGTTTGTGCCTCTGTTTGTGAAACCAACAATTCTGTACAAGGTTTACCTAGTAGTTGCAAAGCGGGAACCAAGGTTATAATTTGTTACTGGAGACCAGACACGTGGTCAGAGAGGATCTACCGTAGTATCCCGAGATAGCCCACCTAAAATCGAAAGCAAATCGGGCTAAAATAAGGAGCAAGCTAACTTTCAATGTGCAATAAAAAAAGTAGAAACAATGCTAGTTTTAGATTCTGTGACCTGCGAAACTTGCGATTGCATGGAAGGGCAATAAACCAAACTTCTCAGTCAGCAATGTTCGCTTATCTCCCTTCTTGGCTAAGTAACACCATTTCTGTCAAAATCACCATTGGCTAGGGCCCTGTAATTACTACAATCTTTTGGCGTTTTCGAAAAAAGAAGAAAAAAAAAAAAAAAAAAAAAAAGCACCTTCAAAATTAGCGGTCTGTTACCTTTTGGGGGTGTGGCATCTCGGGATATAACGGTACTTGTTTTGCAATCGGTACAACCAGTGGACATTTACGGTAATAGAAGTTTTCGCCATCCAGTAATTGACGTGATAAAGGAGAGACGCATTCTGCTTGTACCAGTCTATGTTGCCAGAGCCAATAACGTGCTTCTGGCCATTCTGTCGCACTAGCAGTTTCAACGGTAGTCTTCCAGCCATGCTAGAAAAACGGGGAAAACCCGCGATTGCATGTCCACGCTGTGCCTCCGACTAAGCATCTGGCCTCTGCCTGTTCACACATGCATCGCACCGCTAAATCAACACTTGGAACAGCGCTGATAAGCGCTGACTGGAAGGCAACTTAGTATTGCCACAGCACTGCATCACCAATATAAAGCAAAGTGAACATTGCATCAGCGAGGTCAACGCTATTTCCAGTACTGAGACAGCGCCGTGGTGTATGCGTGGACAAGTTTCGGTTACGGGTCCTCACTGGCAGCTCTAACCGTGCCAATACGCAATTGTAAAAAAAGTTACCAAGACAAAAGGTTGAACTAATGATGCAGATTTCGGCAAGTGTACCACATACAAGGCAAGCACCAGCTTTGTTTCATCTACAATGCGCTGAATACAATGCATTAATTTTTGGAGCCGCACCAATATCAGTGACTGGGACAATGGGGCAATGCCCGTCCAAAATACTGGGTCCCGTCAAAAATGATGTTGAAGCGAGTCTCGGAATGCAACTAGACACAGAGTGCATGGGGCACTTCTAAACTGGCGCACTTTTTGAAGCGCACAAAACGAACCGCCGAGGCGCCGTTCGCGCTTGCCGCAAAGACGCGCAGGTAACAGGAAGTAACCGAAGTAATTGGCGGAAAACGTGCTTGGGGTTTGGCATCCTGTCTTTGGTAGGCTGACTTCTTTTTCCTTCGGCATGGAAGCACGACGAAGTTTCGACGTCTGCTGCAGGTGAGCCTCGACGCGACGTCCGGTCCATTTGGATTACGCAGAAACGCAAAAGAGAGAAACTAGTAAAACAATTATTGGGAGGTTCGCTCTAAAATGGCAGTGCGAAAGTTGTAAACAAAAGCATGTATGTACAAGATTAGCATTTGCATAATGCCCCGCACAACGTGCGTACCGAGAGTCGGTGATGCGATTCACGGAAAACAAACGAAAAAATCCGTACAAAAGGTGTCTTCGAACCGAGCGTGTGATGCGGGGAAGTGAGCCTGTGAGGTTGCATGAGTTAGCTACACGAGGGGCTACGGCTCGGTGAAGCGAGGTCTATTGGTTGACGGCAGCACGCTGAGTAGCTGCGCGACGAACCAATAACCGAGCACTGCTTCTAACGGCAAATGTCGCATGATTGGCGAGTCTTGTCCAACCTAGTATTATGCAGTTTCGAGCGTCTGACTTCCCTCACGTAAAAAATCAGAGTCGATATGCGGGTCGGATCACAAACAGACTTCAAGTGCGTGTCTAGCTGCTTCGGATTGTTAACTACGAGAGATCATTTCGCGAGCATAAATAAAATGACACTGAATGTAACGCGGAATGAGGCGCAATGGCACGCCGCGATGCCATTCCCGAGGAGAACCTGTCTCTCCGTGCGTTGCCGACGGGTTTTTTGCTCGCTGCGAATCAGAATTCCCAAACAGGCGAGACAGTCAACAGTCTAGGCACGCGCAAAGATGCGCTGTCACGCGGCCCAACCTTCAACATTTGTATATATATATATATATATACTATATATAGCATTTGAGTTAGATTATCTCGAGAGAAAATGCAATGGCTTAACAAAAAAAAGTTGCGCCGGTCTACGGCAGCCACTTCCTAAACACACGCAAATCGTTCGTCAACAGCTTGACGTCTCGCATCTGCGCTCTCCTCGAGGAAATGTCCGATGGTCTTGAGCACGTTCGAAACAGTTCACGACGTTCCAATACGAACCTCGGAACCTCGATGTGCTTCGTCTCTGAGCAGGTGACGCCTTTTCTTCAGCTGGAGCGCATGCTGGTGGACTAGCGCCGTTGCAGACGACGTGCCAAAGTTGCAGATAACGAGCCAACGTGGCAGACGACGAGCTGACGCGTCAGGCGCCTTCCTTCAGCTCCACTTCGACAAACTCTCCGAGGGCAGACAGCGCAAACTGCAGGCGACCGCGAAGCGAGTCGTCGCAGCCGTCGCGAGCAACGTCTGCGAGGGCGTACGCAGCCGCGCGGCGCTCTTCGTCGATGTAGAGGAGGACGGGGTGCTGGTGGCGGTCCGCATTGATCACCAGCTTGGTGTGGTCCTTGAAGAAGTTCACCTGCATCGTGGAAGAGAACGAAAAAAAATAAGGTTTTAGAGTCAGAAATATGGGAAGCTAGAAAACTGTGCATCGGTTGACTCCGAAAAAATTAGGTGCTCCTTTCATCCACTGAACAAGCGTTCCATATAAAAAAAAAAAAAAAAAGCATTAGCAATATATACCCAGATCCGAGCAGTGTGATGTCACTTGACGTCACGGCGTCAAGTCGGTGTCATGTGATGTTCGAGTTACTAGCCAACGTTACTAGATTACCTCAGTTGTGGAACTTCTGCGGAGGGGTGCAGCCACCTCACTCCCTTCAATACGCCTACTATCCTTTGAAGCGCCATCTAGATTTTCGTTTCAAAACTGTGTGTTCCATAGCATACAGGTAAACGCCATCTAGATGCTGTACTTCAAAACATACATATTCTATGGAATACACATTGGCGGTGCGTCGAACAACGGAAGGCGAGCCGTGGGGAAGAGAGGCCGGTACGTACCGCTGGTCCAAGCAGTGTCTATGGGCAGTTCCGTGCCTGAGCTAATCTAGTAACGTTGAGTATTGCACAATGTCACGCGATACTGTGATGCTGTCCGACCTGATGTCGAGCAAAGTGGTCACGTGATGCGACGGCATGTTTCACTACCAACTTGACATCCAACGTTACTAAATCTAATGTTGACACTGTGACGACACGTGACACCGCAACTTTACACCCTAAGTCATGTGACGCCACGGCGCCACGTGACCTAACGTGACCTGATGCGCATCATGTGGTAACATGACCGTGCGACCCATGACGCCACCAATCGTGTGAACCACAGTGGCATCCTGATAAATTTAGCAGGATGTTAGCCTACTAAATTTAGTTGATAACACCATTATAAGCTACTTCACTGTTATCAGCACATTAAAGCTATGGGAACAGCAGTGCAAGACAAATTCCAACTTTGATTCCATTCAATTGCATTCCACATTAAAAAGATACAAAAGGACAACATACACAGCAGGTGGAAACTTATTTCAGACGGTGAACCGCAGTACATGCAATACTTCACCTAAAGTTAAATAAAAAAAGAAGTTAATATTAATTAAAGGGGCGGTGCAAAAATTTTCAGACTTCGGCCAATTAACTGCGGAAATTAATCTGCGTCACCTTTGGAACGAAAAGCAAAATCTGTATTTTCTTGCGAATGCTAGCTCTTATTAAAAAAAAAAAAAATGAAACAAATTGAAGGTCAAGGTGCCTCTCAACTCTCCACGTCGACTTTCGAGTGACATGCTCTGGGGGTTCACGTGGTTTCCCCTTGGGCCCTGTCTTCAGAGACCCCAGCCAATTCCTCTGCGACTGTCGACTTTTAAAGGATTAGCATCGTCGAAGGTCGCGGCGAGCGATCGACACAAAGGCCAGTTCGCCACGAGGCTGACGGCGAGTGTAGCAGCGGAGGGGGACAGGTTTTGTTGACTTCCTCGTATCCCCCAGAGACGCTGTCATTTTAGTTCCCGTAACCGCGACAGGCGGCTGCAGATCGGCAAATAATTCGTTTTTTGCTTTGCGATTACGCAGCAGGATAGCAGTTTTTCGGAGAAAGGTGACGCGTTTTCGGTCACCTGGGCTTGCATAAACAATATAAAAAATGCAAACTGCCAATTCTTCCAACATTAAAATCATTGCACTGGCCCTTTAAGGACTTGTTTCTTCCGGTTTTTGATAGAGTCACATATAAGTTTCAACGAGATTATGCTTTCGTCGAGATAACACACTCTAGTGCCATCTACTGGGCAGCCCTAGTGACAAAGTGAATTTGTGAGTGACTTTATTTTGCTAATTAATATATTTTTGCAATCCTTGACGTCCGCCAAGGCTGGTAGTTTGTTCTCGCAAAGGGTTTCTTTATTTCTTGAACAGCATATTTTTAGGGATCTTTGAAACCTTTCCAGAAACACCTTCTACCCTATTTTCCGGGCTATATAGCCTAAGGACTATACATGTTTAAAAGTTTTAATTTTAGGCTGTGCCGCACAGAAATTTTGTTTTTCAAGCTCATTCATTATGATCTTGAAAACGAATTATGATTAAAGAGTATGTTATAGATGATTTATGTATAATACAAGCTTCTTTGCAAGCTAAGAAAGCAGACATTTGCCAAGGTGTGCTGTCTACGAAGATTTTCGTATCACTATACACCGGGTGTGGACTGTCTAAGCAAAAACTTTTATTTCTGACCCCAAATTTGCCCTAGCAGATGGTACACCGGGTGCGGACTATAGCCTGCAAAATACGGTATATGCAGACCGGAAGTGAGCCAGGGCTAGGCAATCTGGCACCAGTAGGTTATCTCATCGTAAGTATAGTCGAGGGTGATAGTAATTCAATTGGTCACATCCAAACACAAGTGTGAGCAGCAGCCTCAAAAGTTTGAAAATCGGCAACATTATGCAAGAGAAAAAATTAAAACAAGCACTATGTCATGTTTTGTGGTATGGCGTCCTTTCACTACCTTTCAGCGAAGAATGAGTGTTTGGCGATGTATGGTTTACTCTTGCGGTAGACAGTGATGTGATTGGCCTAACCCATTTTGGAGCACCTTTTGGAGCAGCCAAAACAGTGTTTTGGAGCAGCGAATGTGGCCTTTGGAGCAGCCAAGACAGTGTTTTGGAGCAGCAAAAGTGGCTTTTGGAGCAGCCAAAACAGTGTTTCGGAGCAGAAAAAGTGACTTTTAGAGCATATATTCTTAGAAAAATCTATATTTGTTTTAAGTGCTGGACAAACGAAGGGCACTTTGTGTTGTGTTGTGATGTATTGGGGCGGAATTCGCTGCTTGTGTTTTTGCTGCTGAGACATCCCACAAGTATACAGTGCTGTAAGCGTTGCCAAGCAATTCCGAAAAAAAAAAAAAAAAAAAAAAACTTTCGTTTTATTGGTTTCCAACGTGGAAGATTTTTATAAAAAGTAAGCAAACGCAAAAACAATGGATTGTAAGCATCCCGGCTGGTGCCTCTCGTGCAATTATGTTCACATGCACGTGAGGGCAACTTCGGCAGGCTTACAGTTAGACGTGCTCCGTCGCGTGAGCGGAGACAACGGCTGTTCAACCGAAACCATGCCACTCCGCTCCGTCGCCAACTGGTTCCCAAAATAGTATACATGTACAAAATGTAACTGTACAGCATACGACAATCAACAGTCCAGTGGCGCGTGCTTGCCAGGCCGGCGGGCGAGGTACAAGCTAAACACACAGAAAAAAGAACCTGAGCGTATTGATGCAAGACTGCGAATCAGGATCAAAAAGTTCTTGGAGCGCTTTGTGGAACGACTGAACTCGAGACAAACAAGCGCGCTGTGCGGGTTCAGCTTGCAAACATTGCCTTTTTTGCTTTAGCTCACTTCTCTTCACCAACTTTCTTTCGCGGCAGATTTTTCACGTACCGAGGTCCCTCCCGGAAGAAAGCCAAACGAGAGAAACCTAGGTAATCAATACTTCGACACAGCAGTCATTGAGTTAAAGAGGGATTTTTATAGCAGCGTATAATTTAAACAAGAGCAGGAATGTCGATGCGTTTCAGTTTAGAAAACGCCATATCTTCAGCGACGTGGGGATGGCAACACACGACGTCGCGCGAGCGCTTTAGCTCACAAAGTAACTCTCCCCGCGCAAAAACATGGTTTTGTTTCACAGCATGACGGCATGTCTGCAACTCGGCACACTAACGCCGGAGTGTCCGCACATGCCCGTGTCTATCGCTAAAAAATTAAAAAAAAAAAAAGAAAAAGAAAAAAAAAGACGCGAGACGAGATTCCTGAGACGACGAGAGCGCGAAACGCGAGACGGCGGGAAATATCATGCAAGACCGAATAGACGATTGATGCAGGGTACTTTGTGTCGGGCGGCGTCTTGTGCCACCTAGCCAACGCATGCTCAATTACAGTTCTCAGTTTAGTTTCGTTTTTGAAAGGCGACCAAGATTGCTCCTTTGGCGCAGGCTTGGCGCAGATTAGCCATATTTTGGCGAAATGTAGCAGGCTGTAGCAGAGTTAGCACCTTGGCGCAGTTTGGCGCAATCGGCGCAGCAATCACATCACTGGGTGGAAAGAAACCTTCCAATTTTCTTTTGGAACATCCTGCACAAGGTATAGGGTGTCCGAGAACCCAAGGCCGTCTTTAAAATCGGCCAGAAAAATCAACCCCTGTACATAATTGCCATCTCCGATCATGCAGCTGGAATCCCTCTGTAATGTAGGCTCTCCAATTGATGGTTGCACTTATGACGCCATCTATCGAGAGGCACAGCGAACAGACGATGCAGGCAGACAATGCACTCAGTCGAAAGCAGACGACTTGGTCGTCTGCTTGCTGCGTTTAGCAGAAGAGGGTGCCACCTGTGTTGGTCATCTGTCATCGCGGTCATCTGTGTCAAAGTCCGCCCTTAAAAGTTTGTTTGTCTCATTTTTTGCAGCAAGGGAGCTATGCCTCGAAATTTCAAGAGGTAAACGGCACCACTAAAATACAGCTTCGCTGAAAATTTGAGATTGCTACACGCACGCACAGATTTTTCCGGCCGACTTGTTTAGAGCCAGCCACGGGATTTCTGACACCCCGTAGGGCACTTCCACGAAATGCCTTTTCCCTTCCAGTAAGCCCCGTTCTGCCACACTGACGGCCATCGTCTGTCACTTTCGCCGTTTGTTGATGCACAGACGCTCTGTTATTGCCATTACTTTTGCTGTTGGCAACACACTGAAACATGGCCAGCGTCTCCACTGACGACAGAACTTGGTAAGTACTTTTGGGAACATATTTGCGCCACATATTAAAGCTTTTTCTAATTCTTTCTTTCTGGAGTCGCCCTGGCAACACCTACCTGGGCCTTTATGGCCGCCGAGGGGTCAACTTCTCAATCGCTGGCTTGTCCCAAGTCCGAATAAAGACCGGTATGTATCAAATTCGAGTACCAGGTGACGCTCCTTTTCACTGCCGACAACTCCGGCAGAAGCGGCGAGCCGGAAGTGTATGTTGCACGAAACCGCCCCATAGACCCGTCAGAGCCGCGGAAGTCAACAACCGTGTCGTTATCTCACCTGCAAGGTGGTGCAGCTCAGCTGCATGACTATGGCGTGGGCTGTGCGCACCCAGCGCTTCATGAAGGGAATGCACTTCTTCTTCTTGGCGGCGTCGGCGGGTTGGACCACGTCACCTCCCTGTCGACAGAATGAAAGTTTTACATGCGTAACCAAGCAAACGAGCGGTCACTGCTCGTTTGCAGACAGTTGGGCGAGGAGTTGACTATGCCTTTGCACTAGTGACGTGCACCATGGCAATCGTGCAAAGTGTGACATATATGGAATTAACGGTGTTACGTTTGGTTCAAGCGTGAACCTAGCTCCAAATGACCTGTGGTTCTTGGTTCGAGGAAGACACGAGCGAGTGTCTGGCGCCCAGAAAAAGAAAAATAGTGCTGCACAATCTTTGCTTACAATTTTTGGTCTGGTAAAACGTCCGTTGTCGGAAATGTTTGTCAGAAGTCAGAAGGGCTCAAAATTTCGAAACGCTGGCTGTAATTGGTCCTGTCAGTCTGGAAACACTTTTAGCAAATTATGTTTTTTTTTGTTGTTTTTTTCTATCTAGGAATGTATTTGCACATTCTTTTGTGCCAGTGTCAATGTTTTTGTCTTCCTTACGTCTATGCATTACCTTTGATACATATATGAATACGCCTGAATGCTGTCAAGCTTAAATGCTCTTCCGCTTTAACACCTTCACGCTCCAGGTAAGAGTGATTGTGACTGTACATCATGCATGGTTGGTATATTGACCAATTTTTCGTCCTAAAGGCACGATAAAAATCCAGCGAGTCAAACAGAAAAAACACAGATGTTAACTCCAGAGCTGGAAAAAATGGGATATATATAGCAATTGTCAATGAGTCGACAGATCTGCAGCTCTAACAAAGAAATGGAGCAGAGGTTATCCCAGAAATCAAACATGCCTAATTTTGTTTATCTTTTCTAATGAATGCATGTCACTGTTCTCCAAACTCAAATGCAAGAGTTCTGAAATTTTGTAAAGGGTCTTCAATTGAGAGACACAACGCCTCATACCCCAGTCCTCCATCAAAGAAGCAGCTCCAGCTAAGGTAACCATGCATTTCATCACCACTATAGTTTAAGTGTTAGTCATCTCAACCAGTTGCAGAAATTTACCCACACAAAGAAAATAAAACAGAAATCTGCCGCTTAGGTTTCCATTTGATTACTTGGTGTGCACTGTACTGCATGCTTTAAGCATTTTTTAGTCATTACAGTACTATACTTGGTTCACCCCTAAGCTGATGGTGTGCTGGAAGTTACGTGCCCGCAAGACAAGTCATAAGCCTGTCTTTCACCACGTGATCACGCTGCCACCCGTGCCCACACAAAAAAAGCGGGGCATCAGGCAACGAGGCAGCCGATTGGTCCGGTTAGCCCCGTCAAGTTAGGGTCGACAACCAATGGTATGAAGTCCGTATACTCACCTCAGTGAGGTTTTCGTCCATGTAGTGAGCAAAATACTTGAGCAGAGAGTACCTCTCCTGGAGGAAGGTTGGCAGTGCCGAGGCGTCGTGCACCGTGAGTTTCCCCGAGGTGTCGTGGTACTCGATGCGCCTGCAACGCCGAGTCGTGATTGGCCACGGGACTGAGAATCATCGATTTCGGACACGAGCAATGCCTTCAGTATCAAACACCGTGTGACTAAACCCTTGCGGGATCTGCTCCAAGCATGATATCACGTCCTTGCAGCACGACACCTCCAAAGCTAACTTCTAAACAATTCTCGCGGGAACGAGCTCTCAATAAAAATAAAATCCCTCGTCACGAACTACTTGTAGGCTCAAATTTGACGTAAGGAAGTAGTCATCAACCAACTATCTCTGGGGAAACCTTCAGAAACTGCGTAGAGAGAATAGCGTCTTTCATGTGCAGCAGAAACAGCCGCTTTCATCTTTTTAGGTGGTACAGTTGCAATTGGGAGGACCAAGTTCCAAGCTGTTAAAAGCTTTAGAGAGACCCGTGCAATTTAAGAAATTGCAGAAAAAAGGTATCTCGATGCTACGGATACTCGATAGACACAGAATGCATTTCCACGGCAATCTTTAAAACTTGTGGTGGACTTCGCAGGATGACGACTCACGTGCGATCGGCTGAGAGACCAAAGCGCGTGGTGTCGTTAAAGAGGACGCCCACGCTGTGGTCGGACAGCTGGAAGCCGAAGCCGTATTTGTTGGAGTAGTCGATCCACTTGGTTACGAAAGGGACCGTCACCCCAGGAAGGGCTACGGGGTTCTCGGTGGCATCTGCAATGCGGCGGCGGTATGCACAATGTAATGAAGCACTCCACCATCATCCAGCGAGCCCATTATTAATTAGACTAATTAAACACCCACAAACGACTGACATCATGTTTATATTGCCCTAGCACGTATGTGCATGAGGCAAACGCTAAAGTATTCATCGTAGCTTCATTTTTGTAATCGTTTTCAGTAATAACATGCAAGAATTAAAAAAAATTGTGTTGTCTGTATAGATCAGTATAAATTCGCTTTTAAAGGTACGTTGACGGGGTATTTGTGCTCGCCAAGGTTTTTATTTGTACCAGACATATGAGAGCCCAACTACCCAGAACGCAATTTCCAGACACTCAATATTAGAAGGCAGACACTCAATATTAGAAATAGAAAAAAATATGATACCCATTTTTTGTGACTTCTAAAAAGCTGCAAAAACGTTAATTGAAAAAGAAAAAAAAAGTTGCACAAAAAGCTGGAAACACACTGCATTCTCTGCGCGATTCTCAACATGGCGTCGTATCGCAGGTGTCACAGGATGGACGGCTAAATGAAGCGGACTAAGCGATGGCGACGGACTACAGAACTTCAGAACTGTTGTTCGCAATACCGATAAATCTGTCTACCTTCGAAAGAGAAATCGTTTACCGACCAAAACAATTAAAATTTATTCCGTACGACACGCCCAACCACCAAGCTGATTCACACGAAGACGCCGCCAAGTCGTCACCTTTTCTCCTGCCTGAAGACATTGCGCGTCTTACAAACACGAATTGGTAAGAGCTTGAAAAATGTGCAAACGTCAAACACTAAATGCTTGACTTTTGCGTTTTTAATGCTAAGAGCGACGTACAAGGTTTTCATTTGCTTTGCACAATTAAAAAAGCACACACAAAAAAAAAGAAAATGCGTTTGGGAGCACTGCATGACTTGCGGCAACTCTCTCCTCCTTTACTTCCTCCCTAGTCCAGTTTCGGTTTCGAGCAGTTGTGTTTTTTTACTTTATTAAAAATATGCGTGATGTTGTAGCAAAATATTGATTGAGTAGTCTTCTGACAATCATATTAAATTACCTGGCAAAAAATTTGAAAACTTTTTGAGGGGTGTCAGTGTCTCTTTAAATGGTCAATATTTTTGTTTTTGACAGCTTTCAAAATTCTGCCACTTCTGCAGTCGGCTAAAGAGATGCATGCGAAATTGGCACCTCACCATTCCAACTTTTGGTAGACAGACACTGGATCACAACACCTGCCGAACTATGAGGAACAGAAACTTTTCATCTATCAAGAGACGAAGCATGTCAAGAACTCAAAACATTGCGTAGCTACAGGCTTCGGAATTCTTAACGCCACAAACACTTGTATATATATCTTAATTCGCAGCTTGGTTTTCCATTAAAAGGACAATGAAGACAATTTAACTTTTTAAAATGGTGCTTTTAGGCATCTCAGGAACCTAGCATGCTGCCTAATTTTTTGTAGACATTTGGGACACATATTTCTGTGCCTACGAAAGAACTGAAGAAACCGAAACTGAACTAGCTCCATTCCCATTTCTGGGCCTCCGAAAACGGAGGTGACGTAGGGAGTGACGTCAAGTGTGAATAGTCGGTATCGGTGGTATTTAGGAAATTACGACTCTGGTTACCACGGTGGGTTATAGCAACGCGGTGGTGCGGTCGTTTCGTCGAATCTGTCAACATGGACGACAATGCCACTCTTGCGAGCCAGTTCGAGCTTTCGTTCAGTGACCCAACACCAATGGAATGGGAGTATGTGTGTGGCGGCCTCCGCCATCACCCAACGGAGACCGCCCAGCCGGCAATGAGCGGCCCGCAGGTTCCGAAGAAGTGAGCAACATTCGCGCGGGCGAGACGAGAAAGGCGCGTTGCCGAAGGACAGGGATGCAAGGGAGATGCCGATGGGAAAGTGGTAGCGACCAAGCCATTCCGGGAACCAGTTCCTCGGCGGGGGACGCTCCCCAAGGAGAAAATAAACAGCACCATTTTTGGTTTGTTTCACCAAAGTTGGACGTCTTCTCTTTTCGTCGTCAAAGAACACGAACAGCAACCCACACATGAAAACTAGCGTCACCCGAACAAATACTGGTCTTCAGTCGACCGTTAGAACAGCCATCCACAGAACACAAAACTTTGGCATGACTACCATTTTGCAGAATCCTTCCAGTACCATGTTCCCAAAGTAAACAGTATACACCGACATCTGAAACCGTGTTCTTTTTTTATTTTATTTTTTTGCCCATAGTTGCTTGTTTCGCGTTCAGCGTAGCAAGGAGAAAAACAATTATGCTGTTTTATTTACGGTTTAGTAATCATTTCCAGCCCGATTTATACTTTTCATGGTTATTCAAGCGGAAATTAGAACAGTATTCCTAAAAATCGCAAACCAAAACGTGACCGAAGGCATGTCTCTCGTTTCGACCAATTGCTGACGCGTCTCTTGTGACGTCGCGCTTCTTGGCCCCGCATCAGTCGCGTGAGCTCCACTTCTCCCGACTTCTCCCGCAACTCTCGGGGCGTCGCCTTAGTCGATCCCGGTACAATTATTACCGCGACTGTTTAATTGATTTGCGCGGCACACAAGCGCCGGTTTCGGCTGAAACTTGGGCAACGTGCCCTGAGACGTGCCTGAAACCCAATTCAATCTTTAAAACAAATATCCGAAAATGGCTTCATTGTCCCTTAAGTCATTAGAGTGTGACGATATAAATCAGTTTTTATAATTATTTTTACCTCAAGAATCGTAGTAAAAGAAGGTGTATGGCAAGCAAGGGTTCTATATTGCATTGTTTGCATGTCGAAGCACGAAGAGGGGAATGCCTATCGAAAGGCAACATAAAGAATGTGTAGATAACGCTCAATGACGAGGTAGCCAAGCTCGTGCCATCATTGATTGAGGTCGGGGGGGGGGGGAACGAATGCACGTGGGTGCATTTGGGGGGGGGTAAATAAACGCACGAGGTGCACAGGCAGATAAACTTGCATGCTGTATAACTCCTCGTGAAATTATACTAATCTCCCCCCTTCATGTTACGAATTAAGACACTTGTATGAACATTTAAAGTCGGTGATTTATTTTATGAAAATGTGTACACGTTCCAAATTTCTACCGTGGGTTGAAAACGCTTCACTAGGGCACCAATTTGGCAACGGGGCATTCCTCAGCAAGTTACAAAACGACAGAGGGGAAGGAAATAGGCGGGGTGGAAAAATCATACCTTTGGTTTCTAGGCTAGGTGGTACAAGCTACTGCCCGTAATAAAAGGTACAGCCATTAGCATTCCTTCATTCAGTATGACCGGGGAAGGAATCGTGCGTTTCTGATCTTCAAGCAAGGTGGTGCAAGTTACCGCCCATCATAAAAGATACAGCCGTTAACATCCATTCATCCAAGCTCGACTGTCAGACAACCTACACACTCCAGACGCAAGATGACGGCGCCCAGAGACTACACTTGCGCACGTGCATGGTGGCAGCCAAACTTACAAGAGGGAGTATCTTCGAGGCAAGCCAGCAGCAGCTTGTGGAGGACAAGGGTGGGACTAGACTTGGTTCTTGAGCCTGCAACACAGCGGGCAGTGCAAGCCACTTGGTCAAACTCCAGCCACGTCTACGAATCTGTGCGGATGGCAAACATTCTGAATTTCTCTATTCGGAACAAATTATACATTTAACCGTCGTCCAGACAGGTCAGAGAGATCGACTGAGGCCAGTTTGTGTTCGCGTTGTCCACACTCGGCATTCTTTTTGTTATAATTGTATTCCATTCACCCCTAAGCCGACAGTGCGGTGGGAGCTACGTGCTCGTCAAACCAATCACACGTCTATCCTTCGCCACGTGACAACGCTCCCACCCGCGCTCACGTGCAGAAAGACGGGTCAGGTGATGAAAAGGAAGCGGTTCTTTAGTGTGGCAGGTGTGTAGCTCCGACTGCACTCTCAGCTTAAAGGGGCAGTGCAACGATTTTAACATCGAAAGAATTTGCAGCTTGTATTTTTCCAGCGGAGCTGTTAAGGGCTAGTTTCCCCAGGATCGTGTCCCTCGCAGAGAAATGTCAACACAAAACTCTGGACAGCTACCGCCATTTATGAGCAACGGCGGCAACCAGACAATCGGCTTGCTCATAGATGGCGACAACCTTTCCGGCCTTTCCAATCTGGGAATTTCTCTAGGCGTCGTCATAGATGTCATTCTCGAGGTCGTCCTAAACGTTGTCCTTGAGGTCGTTCTTGAGGTTGTCCAAGAGGTTGTCCTCGAGGTCGTCCTAGACGTTGTCCTTGATGTCGCCCTCTATGTCGTCCGAGAGGTTGTCCTCGAGGTCGTCCTAGACGTTGTCTTCGAAATCGTCCTAGAAGTCGTCCTTGAGGTCGTCCAAAACGTCGTCCCCGAGGTCGTCCTAGGCGGCGTGCTTAAGGTCGTCTAGATGTCGTCCCTGAGGTCGTCCTCGAGGTCGTCCTCTAGGCGTCATCCCCAAGGTCGTCTTAGAAGTCGTTCTTGAGGTCGTCCTAGACGTCGTCCTTAGGCGTCGTCCTTGAGGTCGTACAAGAAGTCGTCCTTGAGGTCATCTGACCATAGTACAGCTTTGCTGGTCTTCCTTCTTCACCAGAGTAGAAAGGCTGAAAGTTTTTTTATATTATCTATCGATCGGCGCAAGCGAGAGAAAATGTGACATCTTCCTTCGAGATACTGCAATTCCGCCGCGCAACGCAAAGGAAAAAGGAACACATTTTGTCCCGATCTGCAGTTGCCTACGGCGGTACTCGGAACTACGATGTGACGTCAATCGAAGTACACAAGTCTTCGGGGTGCCATCTACCAGAAGTCAACAAAACCGTTTCCTCTGCATCGCTACCCTCCCTATCTTTCCTGTGGCAAACCGTCTTTTGCCACAGATGCTTTCCAGACATAATGCGGCTTTCCAGACATACGACCGAATATGCTCTGGGCTTCCCAAGAGATACAGCGCAAGAGAAAGAAGAAAAGACAGAAAAGCAGAGATAAAAAAAAAGAAGCAGATTTCTTTGCCACAACGGGTTGAGATGGTTCCGAGTGCTTGGTTCACTTTTGCTGTGAGCTGCTGCAAGGGCTCTGCTCGGCGCTGCTGCATTTCAATATTCTATTTTCTGCACGCTCCATCTACTGTGTCTCATGCTCAAACAGGCTCCAAGAAAGTCGCATTTACGCTGTAAACACGAAAGATGGCACTCACAAGTAAGACATCCACAAAGCGTACACGCGCTTGCCTTGCACGACACAGGACCACTTCATGCAATCTAGTATCCACAAGGGTACACGGTTTTTCCACACTGATGCATCACATCCCGTGTTACCACTGCCTTTACCACAGTAGTATGACAAAGGGGCAACTTTTTTCTTTGCTTTCATGCCTGATCATTAAATTAATTAATGAAATCCTAATTGGAACAGGGAAAAACAGAAAAAAAGAGAAATGAACCTTCCGACCTAAATTATATATTTATTTGCACTCTTTTTTCTTTTTTTCATTCAATCTAAATGCCTCAATGACTTGTTTGTTACGTGATCTGCACCTCAGCACAGATGCGGGCAGGGTCGAGGAAGTTAATAAAGTACATAAAATATAAGGTTCATGTTGAGTTTGTTTACTTAATATCTCAATGATTAATCGGAAAGTCAGATCATAAAACAGCGTCATCAGCACTGCACCGATGCGACAGGCGAATGATATGTGAAAATAATAAATGCAAAGCCACAAATAAAAATATCATGCCCATCTAGCAGCTCATTCAAAAGTAAGTTTCGCGGCAAGCTCGGTGGCGCAATCTCTTTGGGAGCACCTAAACTTGCAAAGATCTAGTTTCGGTTTCGGAATTGTATGCCTGCATGGCTGTCGCTCATTTTGCCCTTTGGTGCCACATCGCAGCATCAAGTCATCACGACACGGGACCAAAGGTAATAAAGAGGTTGCGATTAAAACAAAAATAACAAAGGAATTCACTGATACTTTGAAACAAAGTTTGATCATGCATAAGATGCAATCGTTTTGTAGATGCTGTACATTCGTTTTTCTTGTGTAAAAATCAAATCGTGCTGTTATTTCATTAGGTTACCCTTTCTTCAATCTAAGCCCCCGTAAATGAAGATTTTCTGTCCGACACCAGAAATAGACCCCCCCCCAAACAAAAAGAAAAAGAAAAGATGGCAAACAAGCTGTAATTGTGCTGTGTATGTTTAGACAGCTAGTAAGAAGTCAGTCAGCCCCAATAGCTGTCTGGTGTCAATTCGTTGACGAGAAATTTTGCCAGAGCACTATGACTGCTAGCCTGGAGGTCTTTAACGTGCATCACGCAATACGACCACAGGCCGGTACAATGCCCATCCAGATCAAAACAGGGGTGGGGACTAAGCCCACAACTCCTGGGTTCTGCAGAGCAAGATTTTGCTCCAAGTGCTTCAACCTCAACAGGCTTCTACAAACATCAGACAAAAATATAGAAGGAAGCAATATAAAAAAGAGAAAAGTTAGCCTTTACACACTTTATGCAAGACTTGTTTATTTGTAATTCAAACATGCACAGCGTGGTTGAGCAGAGGAAGCAAGCTTAACCAGCTAGCTTAGCTCATTCCCCTTGTAAATTATCTTCTTAGTTACATGAGCACGTCTTACCTCATGAATAACCAACTATACTAAGCTTAGCTAATTCCCTCGTAACTTTTTCTTGTCTCGTAGTTTCTAACTGGGATTCAACAAGAACTGACAGAATATAAAGACGTAATTCTATATTAATACCCGCTAAACTCTGAGAAGAAAGTCTACTTACGTTTTTCAGGGCAGAGGACACGACTGAGGGTCATCATGAGCCCCCCGTGCATTGTCTTGGTAGGCGTTGGCTCCGCCTTGGAGGCAGGTGCGGTGTCCGCAGGTTTGGCTTGAGGCTGGAAGTGGGCAACACACACTCTTACAGTCTGCGCTCGACTCTGAACACAACATTTGGCACATTTTGTTTTTAACGAAAGTCCCACCCAGTAAGCCACGTGGAGCGTGGGAGCGACAGCTGCGCTGCACAATATCTACAATTTTAAGTATGAGTGCAAAGACAATATGAGTGCGAATTGAGCAATGGCATTCCGCCATTTGCCGTCAGTGGTCCACAGCATTGCTGTGGTGTGGACTCGCGTTCCGAGAGCATCTGCAGCTACTTTTGAACTCGGCAATCGAATGCGAATTGAGTGGTCCTCAGCATTGCTGTGGTGCGGACTCGCGCTCCGACAGCATCTACAGCTACCTTTGCACTCGGCGATCGAAAACAGGTTTCAAATAAAATAAGGCTTATGTTTTCTCGGAGAGGCCTTATTTTGCTTCGCTAAACAAAGTGCCCCTTCCTTTCTTTGTGATAAATATTCCCCTCTACTCCCGATCAGTTAACATAGAATTTGTTAGTATATGACTGGCTCCTAGAAGTTCTCCGATATCGAAATTTTTGGAAGTACTTCCTGTAATGTAGGCTCCTGTAAACCACCTCTTCCTGTAATGCATATCCCGCAATATTATGCACTTCCTGTAAAGCACTGCCTGTAATACAGAATACTGCAAAGCTTTTTTTGTAATGCTCATCCTATAATACATTTCCTGTAAGCAGGAGCCACGCACGAAAATTCACCTCTATAAAAAAGCACCGGAGAAAGCGTGGAAGCAGTCAGCTTCAAACCAATTGCAATGAACAAAAGCGAGTTTGAGATGTCGCCACAAGGCAGCGAACGTACGTATGGTGGGAGAGTGTGCAGAATACAAGGGGGAAGAAAAGAGGAAGTCAAAATCGGGGGGTTTAAGTGCCAAACCAACGAAGGCCTTTTGGCTCGTCCCAGTGTAGGACTGAGGATTAATTTCGACCACCCAGGGATCTTGCGACATGCAACCAGAAGCTTGGTTACACGGTGCAGTCTCCGCAATAAGCATCCGCCGAATTGCGAGCACCTTGACCGGGATTCGAACCTGCCACACGGGAATCTGCAGGCTGGCGCTTTGCCTCGGCGCCACCGAGGTGGCGGGAAAAGGAAACAATCACACGCTTCGAAGGAACCGGGAAGACGTGAAATAGCAGGATCAAAGCTGGACTGTGTGGCCGCAAGAGACGCATACTTCATGTTTTACTCTCTTTTGAGCACTAGCTTTGGCAGGACTTTTTTTCAGAGACACTATAGCTATGCACGATTACGTTTAGGCCATCAAGGCAAAAAATGCACACTAAGTTCATCTTCACAACATTACCACAAAGCAACACAAACCATCTTCTGTATTACTGCTGCCTCTGCTACAAAAAAAAAAAAAATTTTTATTTTTTTTAAGTTTAGGATTTTATTTTGAATCCTGAGGCCTCCCACCTTGTGATTGCTGGAGTCCAGCGTGTAAGGCTTCTTCTGCTGCGGCTGCACCTGGAGCTTGGACACCAGTGCAGTCACCTTCAGCGTCTCCTGGGAGTGTGCTCCGTCACACTCCTCGGTCGGAGACAACCTGCGACGGAGACCCCCAGTACGTCACCCAAAGTGTGCAGTCTATGTTGGAGCCACCGACACACACGGGCACCCTTAACCGCATTTAAGTGTGACTGAAGTGTTATGGGTGCTAGTGTAATTGAGCTATAGCTGGCAGTAACTGCCAATCATACTTCAGCATAGCTGCAGTTTAAGATGCCCATTGAACAACCTTAACAGCAGTTAGGTCCAACCTCAGTCATGCTTAACTGTGGCTAATAGGGTAAGAGCAAGCTACACTCCAGCCATCTTGGTGCCTAAAATCATTTTGCCAGTTAATCAAAACTTTATCTTAAATCGCAGAAAGCACTTTTCTGTTCCTCAGAATCGCTCAAACAGTTGGCGACAGAACAAGACACTATTGCCCGAGCTTCCTGGCATTGTATCTCAAGTTCAGAAAGTCGCCTTATCGAACCGCAACGATCACCAATTGTGCCCACTCTGCCTTGTCACCAATTGTGCCCACTCTGCCCTGAACACTAAAATGCCTCTAAGATAATTGTAAAACAGAATGCCGACACTCTATTATCTTATTCGGTGGCTCCAGTCTATACTGGGCATGTAATCTTTCAATAGCTTTTATTGACTCCAGGGTGAGAGGAAATGGATTGTGGCATTCACCCTGCTGAGATCGAAGACGAAAATACAGAAAAAAAAACGTCCTCGATGCGTGCTCTACGGCACCCAAACTGGTCATGGGAATGAGAACCATTCTTTTACTTGATTTTCCTCAAATCATTTTGACTATGGAAAAATATCTTAGATTTGAGTCCTTGAAGTGAGGTTGCGGGTCATTTTTCTCATAAATTTATAAATGGTACTTGCGTTGTGAGACTCGTTTAAAAGGTTCTTATCTTATCTCCACTTCTTTTTTTTTTTAAATTCAAATCCTGGGTGGTCAGCTGGCAGGAGCGCTCGGGTACGGGTTGTAACCTTTCTGCACAGCCTTGCACGCCACCCAGGATCACATTTCTGTCTCGGAAGTAATGATAATAATAATAATAATAATGATTATTATTATTATTCTGAAACATGCTTTTATGTCGGGGCCCGGTGTCTCAAAATAGAGGCCTGCTTTGGAATCTCTCAACATAAATATTGTCTTCATTTTTTTTTCTAGTACAGCTTTGATGGGTGCCCAAAATGTGAAAGCACACGCACACCCACAACTTTGGCTGTATGGCCACAGAGAGTAGTTCACAAGTATAGAGGCCCTGGCAAAAAGTCTGAGTGAATGAGAGTGTCACTCCCGTTGCAACATCCCGACACCTGGCTGCCGAAGCTTCCGTGGACTGCCCAGCTGGAGGGCGACATGCAGCAGAACAAGCGTCTGCCACGTCCGCCACCGCCAGTGTGACACTGCCAGGATCGCGGCCCGCGACAGCGTGACAGTTCAATGACGTTGTCGGATAAAAATCGAGGAAGCACTCTTTAGGACATGGTAAACACACCAGTCAGAGACATGTTCCAGGCACTGCAATATTGCCGTGTGCATGGATGAATGCCACTCCATACTTCTGAAAGATATGCATTTACTCTTACCCCAAATGATTTGACATTTGCTCGGTATGTTCGAGATACCAAGTGTAATGGATGAGGAGGCCGACACAACTTTGCCCAGTCGGTCTCCAGAGCGTTTGAGGCTCCGAGCGTAGTGGATAAGGAGCCCAGCGTGGCCTTGCCGATTCGCTCCAACTCTCGGGATCTTGGGCTAGCTGGCCGTCACGCTGACACCTCGAACTCACTGTTGCCGCCTTCGACACCCACTGCTGCTTTTTTGACGCTCATTCTTTCGTTTGTTTCTGGCACAAGTTCGCCGATTAAACCTTTACTTTCAGTTTTATGCTCGTCAATCTATTTTCATCCGCAACAATATTGTGCCACGAAAAGAGTTTCTTTTTTGGGGGCAAGTTCATTTTGTGACAAACGTGACCACCCCCGGAACAAAGAAAGATGTCTTTATGGACGAGTCTTTCGTAAGATGTAAAGGCCAGAAGTGACCTTGAATGGGGACCCACCTTGCAACGGTTCTGGTGGCCAGGTGGTCCGGCACGGAGACGTCGGTGAAGAAGGGGTGCTGCAGCACCTGTGCCACGCTGGGCCGGGACTCCGGGTCCGGATGCAGCATGGCGGCGATGAGCTGCCGGGCGGGCTCGGACAGCGAGGGCGGGATGGTGTAGGCGTTGCGCATGATTCGCTGGTACGTCTCACTCAGCGTAGACGTCTCGAAGGGCGGGTAGCCCACCAGCATCGCGTACCTGCCCCCAGGGACGGCAGTTAGTGCCTCGTCAAGGACGCGGTAAATGCAACCTTTTTCCCTCCCAGGTGGTAGTAATGGCGTCGTTGGAAAATCCTAATGTATCATGTTTTCTGGACTATTATAGTTGACAAACTAAAACATTAAAATTTTATGCATTGAAAGGATCTGCATTTCGTAGGATTGTTTGTTACGAAAAGAAGGGACGAATCATGTGAATCGCAGATATTAATAATAATAATAGTAATAATAATAATAATAATAATATTAATAATAATAATAATAATCTTTATTTCCCATTTTGAATGGCGGAGACCAAGAAAAAAGTCGAATATTAAGATATAATTTCAGTAGGATACAAGCTTACAAGATTTTGCGAATAAAGCGGGCATTTGTAAGGAAGTGCTATATATGAGAAGTGTTTACATGCAAACTATCTAAAAAAATATTTGATTTTGAACTAAAGTTTGTTTTTGAGGACTATGCCCCGGGTGCAGACGATACCCCAGAAAATATGGTACTAAACACTCAACCCGTAGAGTACTAAATATTAAAAAAGAAATGAAAGCCATCTACAACTCCCTGTAAAGCCGGATTAGAGCGCAGCTCTTGAGGAGGAGGATGGAAGGGTACTGAGGGGATAGGTAACTCCCTGAGGTCACGTGACCTCAGGGGGGGGGGGGGGGGGGTATGTGAGAGTAACTCATAACCCTCGTGACCCTCATGAGGGTAACTCTTTTGAGGGTAATTAACCCTCAAAATCCTCGTGAGGATAACGCTCGTGACCCTCGTGACGGCAATCCTCGTGATCCTTGTGACGGTAACCCTCGTAACCCTCACAAGGGTAACCCTCGTGACGTCATTATGGGAAACTAGCCATAATGCAACGTGCAGTTACGCCGTTGCATGCAACGCGAGGTTACGCCGCTTGCACGCAATGCATTGCATGCAAGCTTTGTATGTGCATTACATGCAACATTCAGGTTGCGTGCAATGTATGGGTTGCAGGGAACACGGGGGTTGCATACAACGCACATGCAACGTGTGGTTTTGCCGCTTGCATGCAACACGTTGCATGAAATTTTCTCATGCGCATTGCATGTAACGCGCGGTGACGGATACGGCGACGCCGCTCAAGCCAGAGACGGGCGAATAAAAGAGTCTAAAAAAGTAACACTTTATTTTTACAATATTCTCAAGTTTCAACGTTTTCTGCAATTTCATCAAAAATCTATAATTACAAATCAAGCGAATATGAAACTGTCATTACTAAAATGCCTCGTTTGTATGCATAAAAGGTGTTTCTCAAAATTTGAGTCATCGGCTTGCCCCTCTCCATGTAAACGTGGGGCTCTACGAAATATCAAAGGTGGAGTGGATGCAATCGTGCATGCCCACTGAGAGGGTGAGTGTGACAGGATTTGATTCGATTTGATATTTATTTGAGCCCTCCAGTATGAGTTTTCTACCCTCCACAATGCTGCAAAATCTCATGCACCTCGAGCATGTACATGCAGCCGAAGCACAGCAGAAGGTATGGAGCCCATGCCAGAGGCCGGACGTTCAAAAAACGCGTCCTGTCGTTCCCGCTCCGTCAGTGACTACAGCTAAGGCAACTCACATGATGCAACCCATGGCCCAGACGTCGGCGGCAAATCCGTGACCTTGCATCTTGAGCACCTCCGGCGCTATGTAGTTGGGCGTGCCACATACGGCACTGAAAATGGGGGTCACAAACGGTTTAGGCAATTCCATGAGGTACAATAGTTAAAAACACCACCGTTTCTTTTTACTAAATTGGCCACACGACACAGACCATTGCTTCCTCACACTAGCGTCGGGAGAGGGACCAAGGACCACTATTGAGGATGTGGTTGCCTGCTTTCTAGGTCTCCCAAACTATTGCTTTCGCGAGGGTAACTATTGTATTTGCTCTTGCAGAACACACATACAGCCAATCGCTACATTCCACACAAAAGTAACAATGTCAAGAAAACGATTCTCCGTAAACATGCAACCTGCACAAACGTTATCCCTGTTCCATAAATAGCTGGTATCTTTCTGTCCATCGCAGTGGTTAGAAATCCTAGCGCTCTGTGGAAAAACAGTGGTTAGATATCCTAGTGCTCTGTGGAAAAACAGACTCACAGGCTTTGTTCATACAGAGTGTGTCTATTACTCAAGTCAATACGGTATGTAGGCATAGTGTTACAGCCAAACAGTTTTACTCGAGAAATGCGGAACAGAATCGGCAACCGAGAGAAATATAACTAAGCCAGCAGACCTTTCCCAGAATTCAACTTCATCTAGTGGATCAAATATCACTCAAACTTTTTCAGATTAATGACGATAAAAATGTAGCACTTCATTGGGCACCACGACTCAAATTAACCAATGGCAGATGGGAACAGGTTCTGTGATGTACAGCCCTTTCTCGGTTCATTTCAATTTCGATGGTGCTAAAGAAACTATCCCTTTATAAAAAGCACTGACTTGAGTAAAGCCCTCCCTAAAATTGACCGCATCAATAGGGATTGTGGGTTAAGTTTGAATCAACTGATTGAAAGTATGATAGAGTTTGAAGGTGGGCTAATCGGTGCATACTGGTAACAGGTAACAGGAGAAAACAGCGCAAAAAAGACAGAAGGACAAGTAGATGAAAGACGCAAACACGGCACTGTGTTTGCATCTTTTGTCTACTCGTCTTTGTGTCTTTCTTGCACCGTTTGAAATAAATGTGCACACAGTGCTAATGCCCAATCTGTGATCTGCGGAAAGCTATTGTCTAGAATGCACGAGTTTTCTGTTATCCACATCGGCGCGTGTCTTCACAACTCCTTCATCAGCCATCAGAAGGTTGCCTTAGCATGCGACAGATATCATACACTCGTGCTGTGTTCTGAATCTTACTCGAGTAGATTTGAGCTACACCCCCCAGGTCATGACACGGAATACCACAAATAGAGTGACGCTAGGCACGAGTAGGTTTTTAATGCTAAGGTGCGAATCCTTTACTCAAGGGCAGTTTACCAATCTCTGTGGGTATCTGAACCGGCAAGTAAAATAGCCGCAAGAGGGATTTTTAGGCGATGCGACTGGCTCCTTGAAAAGATATTACCTAGCGTTCCAGCTGATTCTAATTGGCAGAAGCAAGCCTGCCATTTTCTTTCATTCTCACTCAACTCGGCCGTCTCCAAAAATAGCTTTACATGCTGCTCCTCCCAAAGTACACAAACGCAGTTTATTTCACTTTGAGCCTCTTCACCCCTTTTCTGCACGTGGAATCAGTTGTGAACATTCGAAGCAAGTACAGATTTATGGTAGCCATTTTGCTGTAACAATGGTACCCTTATATTAGGATCATGTAACGGGCTAGTTGGTTGTACATCACAGACATAAAGGTAGCGCTAAAGACGAGGACAAGTGCCTGTCCGTGTCCGTCTTCCACTTGTCCTCATTTTTAGTGCTACCTTTAATTTTGTAATGGTACCTTTAGTTTAATGTCCCCATGGAGCTGGTCACATGACCTCAAAATCCCTCTTGCAAATAAGTTGACCCCCGGGGAAGATAGTCGCAGCGATCAGCAAACTGGCCCTGGAGCGACACTGAGCAAATTTTTTAACATGACCTCAAATGATGATAGTGATCAAAGTGGTTAGGCTGAATTTCAGGAAGGGTCCATCGCAGCTACATCGGCCCTGTGTCCGAGGCAAAGCGGCGGCGGGTGGACTTACTACTTCTTGGTGACTTCGGAGGTGAGCCGTGTGGCCAGACCGAAGTCTGCGATCTTGAGCCTGAGGTCTTCGGCGAGCAGCATGTTGCCAAGTTTGAGGTCCCGGTGCACCACCCCCTGGCCGTGCGTGTACTGCACCCCCTCGGCCAACTGGCGCATGAAGTGGCGCACCTCCGACTCCGTCAGCTGGCCCCTCTGCTTCAGCAGGTGCACCAGCGACTGCAAGGTCATGCACGCGCTCGGGTCACACGCACAGATGTCTGTGCCGCTGACGCTATGCGTCATAGCGTCACATGACACTATGACACATGATGCTCTGACATCAGTGACACTGATGTTTTGTCATGATGTCACGTGATGTCATGCGACATTTATAGGGCCAGCTTCGAGGATTTTGTGTTCGTGGCATGTAGTTTTGATGATGCCAATGGCACGTGATTTCATGAAGTCACATAAAACTACAGTGACGGCTTCATGATGTCATATGACACTATGACACATAATGCTCTAATGTCGCGTGACACTGACGTTACGTCATGATGTCACGTGACGTCATGTGACACCGTGATGTCACATATGACACTGTAACATCATGTGATGTCATGTGACACTGACATCACATGAAACTGTGACATCATTTGACATCACCCTGATACCATGACAAAATTAACCACTGTTATGTCACATGATACTGTGACATCATTGATATAATGATGTCATGTGATATTAACTGCTTTATATATTAACAAAACTCTCACAATGTGCTCTTGAATGGGCTTACTCTGTATGCAAAAGGAGAAGAATGAAGAGGTCCTAGAAATGCTACGCATTTGAACACCTTTGGGAAATGCCAAAAGACGGCCAATTCCTCTGTTACAGACAACATTTTCGGAAACAAACTTTGTCTCATGATGGACGACTCATATTACAGAGAATATTTTCGAGGGAACAGAGGTGTCCGTATTAACGAGACATCACCGCACACTGGTAAACCAGTCGAGGTAATAAGCAGGACACAAGTGTGCCAAATTTAACAGAATTTAGTGTTACTCCCGAGCTCGTAAAAGCTTGTAAATAAACTCCCAGAGCGGCTCAAAACACACAGCACATCCTACGTGTTTCCCAAGTTTATCCATTACATTAAGATACATTTTTTTTAGTATGTCTCGTGATTTTATGGAGGCTCAGCGAGCTAGGGCATCTTAATGGGAAGTGTCGACTGGGTAAATAAAATAGAGTGTGCTTAGAGCTAAAAAACAAACTGTCCACATTATCTGATTAAGTGGCATATATTTAAATAAAATGGGCACATCAGCAAATTTTTTTCTTTGTATCACATATACTGTTGTCATGACTAAAGAAAATCGACATAAAAAAACTTTAAAGCAGCAATGAGCTCAAGACTGTACCTATCCTAAGCCCAACAATGTGAGCACCAAAAACGATATCCAAGGAGTAGCTCATGTTTATGACATCACGTCAAGGGATGGTGCTTTGCATAGGTGCTTTGCTCTTTCAAAAAGGTATGCTGTGTGCAAGTAACATTTTGATTGGATGAGTGTCAGAATGGTAGTTTCTGTGCATTACATGGCGTCTTACCCCTGGGGAATGCCTGTTGCATTCCTTTCACAAATTTCTAATGTTTTAAAGATAAAGGTTGCCTCAGAAATTGTTTTACACTTCTGGGAGGACACCAATTACAATATTCATAACTAAGTGTGCGATATTCACTTAGAGATCTCTTTCAAAAGACTGGATTTTTCACAAGACGACAATCTTTTTGACATACTGCTCACTGTCACTTTATATGTTACAAGCACAGAGCTGGGATTTTCTACAGCAATGACGACAAAAGCGCACATTAGAACAGTGTGAACAAGATCAAATTAAGAAGCTACACTTGGGAACCCGCCAGTTTCAATCAATCCAGAGACTCCTACACAAATTTTTCTTGGGTGTTTTCTAGGTTGTTTTTTTAACACTCTTTACACTATTAAAGTTTTATAAATGATTAAATAAACAAAACATTCCTGCAAGACTGAAACATTTATGCCGCATAAAATAAATGAGTCTACTCACTCAAAAATAAATTTCAAAAATCAGTTTTATGCAACGCTGTAATGTATCATGAAAAGGCGGCTGGCTATGCGGTGAATTTTTTTCTTTAATTTGAGAAGACTTATTTTTATAAAAAGCTATAAATAATTTTTAAAATATTTTCCAATGCATCAACATGAAGAGACTTTTGTGTCAACGAAAAGAAAAACATTGTTGCAGGTTGATGGGGCATTTCATAGACAAAACAGAGAGCAGGAGCAAAGTAAGAACTATCTCCAAAACTTTCTTTTCTGTTTTTATGCCCACTAAAATGGTTCTTTTTTGGGTTTGTTTCAATGACTTTTACGCACGGCATATTTGTATTTGGAATGGTTCCTTCCATATTTTCACAAGACAAAATCAAAATTTGGATGAACCATCGCTAAAAAAGACAGTGGTGTAGTAGTATACAAAGTTATCTTTGCTATTTACTGAAGACGAGTTTGATGCGCTCGTGCCCCTGCTGTCGACGGATTCCAGCAAGGTAAGCTCGGCTGGCACAGCAAACTTGTTATTAAATAATCTTGCATTTACGAAAATACAGCAAGCAGGCAACCTGGCAGAATGAAGAGTTTAGATTGTACCCTTGGGGTGGGGGCCTTTCTCAGTCAGGACTAGAAGTTTGGGTGTGAGGCACAGGGTGAACCCTGCAGCTTTGTTGATGTGTCATGTTTGAGACCAGCTTATTTTAAGTACAGGAGCATTTGTCCAGTTCAGAAGGTTGTTTGCATTTTCTTTTGCTGTGCAAGTGTAGTTTTTTTAGCATGTCCTTGAAAACAAGATGTTCTGCAGCTTGGTGGCATTGTGGTTGCGTATAGACAAGAAAGATGATTAAAGAAACGACTTAGCAGAGTGTGAGAGACCCTTCTGACGAAGCCCTGGCACCCATTTCTTTTTTCTGCAACCGTAATCTTTATCCAGTCTTGTGTTAATGTCACTATGGCGTGCATTTACTTGGTGACGCGTCACCTCTCGCTGCATACCTTGCGGGGGCAGTATTCCAGGATGATGTAGATGTTTTCCGAGTCTCCAAAGAAGCCGTGAAGTCGCACCACATTCTTGTTCACCAAGGGGCGGTGTAGGTCAATCTCACGGAGGATCTGCAATTCAGAAGGAAACCACCGAGCCAAACGACTTACTACCCATTTTTCTTTGAGCACACCCAATTCGCTGGTTAGGCACTGCACCAGAGCTCCCTCTGGTATTGTGTACAATGCCACTATGCTCCATTGACCCCTATGCTGACAGTGCAGTGGACGCAACATGCTCGTTTGACCAGTCATATATGTCTATCTTTCACCACGTGACCGCATTCTCTCCCACACCTGATGCGCAGAGAGCAGGGTCAGATGTTGAAAGGTAGGCGGTTGTTTGGTGTGACGAACGTGAGCTCCCACTGCACTGTCAGCTTAGGGATAAACAGAGTATCGGGCCGTATCATAATTATTAATTTATTCCCCGTGTTGCTATTGTAGTTGCCCATTAACCAGTACGGCGGGTACCTGCGTGACACTGAATAATTAAATAAACAACTTTTTATGGCCTACATAAGTTTCACTTGATATGGAAGCGTGGATGGTAGAGAAAGTGAAATCGAAAGGAGGCTCTTAGCCACCCACTCTTTAAAATACAAGCACACAATAAAATGTTTCTAAATAATATATATATATATATATATATATATATATATTTAGCAGAAGAGCATTACGATTGACCTTTCAGGGAGGTAAGTTACATTTTATTAGCTTATTGCCGAGCCCTATGAACCTCAACCCAGCATCATTGAAGCGAGACATTTAAAGTTGTTTGCAGGCTATCCAACCAAAGATAAGGAGATAAATGTGTGTTTTAGTGCCCCTGCAAACCTTCCTCTAATAATCATACGTTTCCCCACTCCTGACTTGTTGCGCTATCATTTGTTGCCTGTTCGGTTAGACTCGATACTCTAGGTACACCGCAACTTGTTTTTTATTTACCACAAACCAACCCCCCCCCCCCCCCCCCACAAAAAAAAAGAAGAAAAAAAAAAAAACAGGGCGTAGATTGCATGCATTAGTGGCACGGAGCGGGACATGAAGGTACCCTAGCACGGACGAGAGTCGTATCTGGCGTGGACCACGTGGACCAACGACCAAAGTCGGAGCGAGGGAGGAAACACCGAGAGAGGTTTGGCGTTTCCTCCGAGAGATGGCGCATCAAGTCTACCCGTTGACTATTTATGTTCTCGACCTTTGCGGGTTCTCCAAACCTATGGAATTCCCCCTTTTTAAGCGGCACTTGCCTTTTGTGTCAAGTAGTTCTATAATCCTGAGAGCTAGTCATGGAGTTTGAGTGATTGAAAGCCATAAACAATGTAAACTACGAACTTTGTCAACCATATTCTGGTACATGTTGCGTACGCTTTGAAAACCGCTCTCTGCGGCACCGTGGATGTACCGCCTCGGTAGCGCAGTAGGCAGCGCGTCAGTCTCATAATCTGAAGGTCGTGAGTTCGATCCTCACCCGGGGCAGGCGGTCAATTTTTTCTTTCCTCTTTTTTTTTTTTTTTTTTTTTTTTTTTTTAGCTGCGGATTACATGAAATATATCTTATCCATTTTAAGAAATCTTATTTTCACAAAATTTGTTTTTATTTATTTATTTATTTATTTATTTATTTATTTATTTATTTATTTATTTATTTATTTATTTATTTATTTATTTATTTATTTATTTATTTATTTATTTATTTATTTATTTATTTATTTATTTATTTATTTATTTATTTATTTATTTATACTTATTTATCAGTGTGTCGAAACGAAAAAAATACGGGTTCGGTTACGGTTACGGTTCAGGTAAATTTATTTTGTTCCGGTTCAGTTCCGGTTCGATTAATTCGATCCGCGAACCGGTTCGGGGCGCTGAACCGGTTCGCGAACCGGTTCGGAAATTATAAATGACAAATTGCAACATCAAAATAAATTACAAATAAAACATCTGAAATCAGCACATACGAAACGGGATACATCGTAGTGTAAGGCTCAGGGATTTCTACCAGGAATGGTTTCTTTATGTGCGCTCAAAGGTTACCTCACCGACGTTTACGCATTCGCACTTAATCTAACTGGGTCCGACGCAGTAGCTGTAACATTCGCGACCTCCTTACAAACCCACTTACAAGTAGAACTCGCTAACTATCCCGCCACCTCGGCGTGTAAGCAATTGAAGGAACAGTGGGGAGAAAATACAGCTTTCTTTATTTGAACTAGCCTTCGGTAACTCAAATTAGACCCTTTCATTAAACAAGATACGGAATATTAAAAAGCACTTCACCGAACGCAACGCCAGAAGGACGTAATAGGATAAATATTAAAATAGAAGAGTTCGCTGTCTCACAAATATGTTAGCTTCTAAGTGCCTACACGAAACCGGATGCATTATTATCAAACTCCACAGCCTTTTCTTTTCTCATTCCGATGGAAGCAAGCTTCAAGAACTCGCGCGTTCTAGAAACGTGTTATGAAATGAGCACACAGCAGCATTTAGGATTTACGAGATTGTAGGAAAATAAACTCCCGTGACGCGATTTTTTTTTTTTTTTTTTGCACAGCCTTCCAATTTTTTTTTTTTTCCGTGCAAGCCGCGACCAGCGCAATACTGGTTCCTATGTCAAGATTCATGGATGCAGCGTTTGTCAAGATTCATGGATGCATCGTTTATATTCCTAAGACTGAGTGGAGAAGAAAAATATGTAAGCGAGGTGTGTGTCAGTTGACGGCACTTAAAAAACAAATGGCATTGATAGCACATTCATTGTCAACAGCGCGTGGCCGAACCGTTTTGACATGAGGCGGTAACCGTTATTTTTTTTCCGGTTCAGTTCCGGTTCGGGTTCATCGCGATAACAATATAACGGTTCGGGTTCGGGTTTTGTTCCGGAAAAAATACCGGTTCGGTTCCGGTTTTCGGTTCGGTTCGGTTCCGGTTCGACACCCTGTTATTTATTTATACCTTTTTATTTATTTCTTTATTTATATTTATTTCTTTATTTATTTTTATTATTATTATTATTATTATTCCGTTCTTGGCCCCCTTCTGTTTTCAGTTTTTGTGAATGATGTTTCGGCTGTGACCTTCACTCTTCCTTTCTACAATATGCAGATGACATTAAGATGCTTATAGAAGTGCAAGACGAACGCGACTGTGTTCTGCTACAAAATGATGTATATGCATTCGAAAACTGGTGCAATCAGAATGCCCTAAAACTAAATAGTTCGAAAACTAAAGTCATGTCCTACACTCGAAAGACACATAATATTATATTCTCTTATGACATTCAGTCAGTTCTTTTGACACGTGTGAATGAAATCAAAGACCCTGGAGTTGTATTTGATAGTACATTACGCTTTTCGAGTCATGTTGACCATATTGTGAGCTCAGCTTTACGTACGCTTGGTATCACGTGCCGCATTACTAAAGAGTTTAATAACCCTAGTACTTTTGTCACACTGTACAGTGCTTTATGTCGACCACACGTCGAGTATGCCTCTGTTGTATGGAATGGAATCAGCGCAACAACCTCGGCTAGAATCGAACGTGTTCACAATAAGTTCTTATGTATCTACAGACATCGTTTCTCGTCGCGCAATGCGTCTACCTCAAACGATGATCCAGCAGTCCCAGTCCAACATAGCTTGGCATTGCCCACCCTGCGGCGTAGGAGAGAACATGCCGACATCCTATTTCGGTACAAACTTATTCATGGCATCACTGACTGCACATCATTGATATCAAATGTGCGTTTGAAAATTCCCGTAAAAACTACAAGGCAAAATGCATCCTTCTACAATGCTCCCGTAACTAATCTTCACGACCCCGTGTCGAAAATTGAGCACACCTACAATTCCTTTTTTACAGACTCTATTGATATATTTAACAATAACACACCGGAGTTCATCAAAGCGCTAAAGTTCCTCACCTAAATTTGGCTTCCCATTTTTTGCACCTGATTAAGTTGCTCAGAACCAATTTTTATACTCTCGCTTTCCTTTCCTTTCGCTATCGTGGTGGTATAGCCTAGCGAGTTTATGTGACATATGTGATCTTTTTTAAGTGTTTTATTGTTTACTGTTTGTTTGTTGTATGTAGTGTTGTTTTTCATGTTTCCTGAGTGCACCTGTACTAAGACCGCAGGGTTGTTCCTGGGCACTTCAATAAAAACATTGATTGATTATTATTATTATTATTAGTATTATTATTATTATTATTATTATTATTAAACCGTGACGATGCTTGTCGAACTTTCGAACTTTATAGACAAAAAAATCGATGATTTTCAAATTTCGAACTTCTCGCACTAAAAAGTTCGAAGCTTTTCGAACTTTAGAATTTCCTAAGCTAAGGAAATCGATCATTTTCGAACTTATTTATCAAGAGAATTCGAAAAGTTTCAAACTTTCGAATCGTGGAATGTCAAAAGGTCGACGAACTTCGACCTTTTAGGGTAAAAGTTCGACGTTCGTCGAACTCCGAAAGACCGGCAAGACGGTTTCATTTGAATTCAACTAGTGAGGTACATTCATACTTTTTTTTCTCGAATTTTTACATGCGGTGCTGCGTTCCTTACGAAAGACAATGCCGCTCATTTCAATGTTCTGGTTTTCTTAGCTTTTAAAGAAATAAATTCCCAAAAAAACAAAAACAAAAAAAAACGACGTTTTTTTTTTTTTGTTTTTTCTTTTACGATTGTCGTTTGTGCCATATTTGAAGCGCGCTATAGCCGAAGTTATTTATGGTAGAGATGTTAAACTTTTTAAGATTGATCTATATACAGCTCTAAGTAAGTGTTGTCTTAAGATGTGATTATTGTTATTCAAGATGAGTTTTGAAGAAATGTCCAAACATGTATCTACGGGCAATTATGCCCTAAACGTGGTATTTTCTTTTTCGCCTAAGTTGTTTGAGGTATCGCATTTAAATTAACACTACAGACAGTACACATCATTGCCATCTGCAGAATACAAAATAATGTACTTATTGATTTTTCAAGTTGAGGACTAAATTAGCTCATGAAAGAAGATATCTAATATTGTTCAAGTTCAGCACGTCATTAAAAAAAAT